AGCCACAAACTGCAAGAAGGGTTTTCCTCGCCAATGGCTGCAGGGAGCCACTTCGCTTAGTCGCGTTCTCCTTCTCAATTCTTCTTTATAACGAATTCGTTTCAGCCTCCGGGTGATGCAGTCTTTCTCTCTTTTCATACATAAAATGAACTTAAGAGTCAAAATATTGACTTCGAAATTTTTCCCTAGACAATAGTTAGGAAACAGCACGTGAAAGGGTACGGTTGTGTAAAAACTAACATATTAATTTACATGATCTTTGGTCGACAGTATAATTGGTTTCGACAGGGAACGCATTTTATAGCCAAAGGGGCGTTTTAAATCTTTACAAATGCACCAAAGAATGCAAAGAAACTCTCCATCAGAAATAGCACCATTATGTAAAATGTATGGAGATTTAGGCCTAGGTCTTTTTCTTTCAAAGTTCAATGTTGGATTTGAACGCGCCGTGATTTAATTTTAAACATTTCAAGTTCCAAGGCACTAATGTCGACCGTTATGGTTTCGGGAACAGACACTTCCCTTAGAGGGGCCAAATGGTCCAATGTGGCAGTGTGTCCATTTGTCTATTTTAATGTACACCAACCGATTTACGGCACAAAATTGCTAGCGTAAAAACCAGGATTTCAAATAAAGTGTTCAATGCATAATCCACTTGTGTGCAGTACCATACGTGACGTTAGCAGAGAAGTGATAGAAATAGGACTACCACTTCCGTTCCTGAATTCGAGGACTTGACCCCATTTTACCTTGTCACCCTTGATTCCAGGGGGGCCGGGCGGTCCCTGGGCCCCGTCCCGTCCATCTTTGCCGTCTCTCCCGTCCCGGCCGTCTCGACAGAAAACAAATTCAGAGTTCCGTGGATCTGCTGACCAAGACGTGCACAAACGCACACTCATTACGTCATTCAGTTGTCCAACCAATGGAGCTCCAAAATACTGCACCAATCTATGAAATATTAACTTGGTGCAGGATGAGCATTCCATGCAATATAATCGAGCGTAAAGTCCCTGTGTAATTTTTCGCAGTATGCACATTGACCGCTTGACAAGGCCAGCGCAGCCTTTCCTTTTCCTCTTTATCGAAAAGTAAGATGAAAAACAGTGATAAAATAGGGGAAGTTGCCTCAGGGTGCAACGCTCCTCGGCCAAAATTACAAGTCGGATTTGGAAACAGACATCACGTGAAACACTACTTCTTGTAGGCAACCGTGTTTTAGTTTATGTCCTAAATACACTTCCCCAGGAAAAAAATAGTTTTTCACGCTGTTTTCATAAAGTAAAGTTTTTTCAGTATCGGACTCGCTACAAGTTTTCACACTTTCGTTTTTCGTCTTAGAGCAGAGAAACAAAAGTTTGACAACAACAATGACAGTCTAAATCTATACTAAAAAAAAGCAGATGGCCCAGGATCATTGAGCAAATTTTAACTATGCGTTAAATCGATTCAAGATCATTGACAAACCATATCCTGAAGTATCCTGCCCCGAGAAGAATGTGATATTGTGCTGGAAGCCGCGACCAATGGACACCTGTGATTCCTGATCTCTTCTCTTTCGCAACTGGGCGTGTTTCCAACTTGGGCCGCTCATTTTCACGTCCTTTTGTTTCGACAGGGAGTCCTCTAACCAGGCCAGACGCTCCTCTTGAATGAAAACCTGGTCCTGTTTCGTTAAAATATAGACAGGGCCAGGTTCAATTTCATGTCAGGCGTGTTGAGAGAGAATCCATTTATTTCCACTCGCATGTACTGCAATGTCCATGGCATTTTTGACACGAGTGTCCACATTGTTGACATTAGGCCCAGTCTATATGAACACCAGCTCTTGGAAGGCTGCTTTTGTTTATTTCACTTTGTTTAATTTTAATTAAATTATTACAAATTTTGTAGATTTTCTGGAATTTAATGGTAATCATCCCAACAAACTCAGTGTAAAGGTTTTCTGAAGAATTTTAAAAGCCCCACCACATGAGCCAAGTATCAACACACCCGCTTCCCTTCCAATAAACACCCCCCCCCAACCTTGAATCGATTGGTCAGAGATTCCTTTTAAAAATTGATGCTGTTTCTTCTATGTAGGGGTGAGATTTGACCTTTTGTAAGCAGAGAAGCCTTTAGGAAGGAACTGTTCACTCAGTGAAGTTGCAAGGACTCACCCTGAGGGACTGCACTTCAGTCTGGACGTACAGCACGGTGAGACTGACCGAGACCAAGACGATGCACACGTTTAGCAGCGCACCCGCCAAGAGCCAGCGCCAGAACCTCCCGTTCCTAGAGTTCTTCTTATCCGAGGAAAAATCGCCACCCAGACACACCTCGGCTGACTTGTGACTTGCAGCCATTTTGGCAGACGCAAAGAAACCCGAATTCTGTTGTCTAAGAAATCCACAGCAAGCTAGGCCGACAAACTACACCAAGGTAGGCCAACAGACGCTCCGAGTGGCTGAATTAAAAAACAACAACAAGGGTATGGTGGAGCAGTTGATGGGTTTACTCGTACTTTCAGATAAACGGAAACAGAACAAGAAGGAAGAGGATGCCAAAGAAGTTAACCCCTTGACATCCAGGTCCGAGAGTGAAGTACAAAATTCTGAACTTGGCTGTAACTCAACAGGATACTACACACTAAACAAAGCAAAATCAGGAAACAGGAAATAAAGTAAAGAGTGTATAAATTCGTTTCACTATACATCTACTTCTTTGACAGATTTAATTTTGTGAAGATCAGAAAGGGTACAAGGGGATTTACTGTGATTTTGCTGTATCTTTATTAATTAAATTTATTTGCATACACATGAGTAAAACAAATTAAAGGCAGAGGCCATGAAAGGGAAATGAGAGGGAGGCGCTGAACACAAGATTGATGAGTGTTTCATTTTGTAGCTATAATATCATATTTAAATCTATTTATCATTCCTTATATCAGTGTTGTAGTCGAATACTTTCCGAGTACCAACGTTCTCCGCAAAATACTGAACTGGGTAAGAGGGAATAAAGCCAGAGTGCACAGGCATTTGATGGTAAATGTGCAGAGGTAAGATTATACGTTTCTCCTAAAAAGTTAATTTTAATCAAACAGTGATGGTCTGAAGTCATCATGTTGCTTTGTTATCTTACCTTTACGCATGTACCATCAAATGCCGATGTACCTCAGCTTTGTTTCCTCTTAACTAGTTAAATATTTGGTAGAGAACTTGGTTCTCAAAAAGTACTCGACTACATCATTGCCTTATATCCAGTTGGTACGCTGGATGCAGCATACAAGATATAATACTCAATTGCCGCACATGATATTGAGAAAGTTAATGCAAAAAGTTTGAAAACCCGGTGCAGCTTGTGTGGGCTCGAGGTTGTGACTCTTAATAAGACGGTCATCGGTTCCAAGCCAGAGTTTGCTCACTTGCAGTGCCTTTGTGTCAGTTATTTTTCTCTCATGATTGCCAAAGCTATAGCTGGGAATGCATCCCAGCAGGGAGAATGGGAAAAATCTGTTTATCATATTGACTCATACTCAAACTGTCAGAGTACAACATTTGGTTTGGAATCCTAGGAGAAAACATTTCATGTATTAGTTGCCAAGTTGGGCGCATGTACATGTAAGACATTAATTTTCTATCCACACATTCTAGAGTCAGAACACCGAAGTAAAAAACTTATTTCTGTACTAATTAGTGTTTTGTCTACGAAGAATCGCCATATTTTAGTACCATGGTAAAGCAAGCCTAAGAAATATTCCAGACATCTTTAAGTCTGAAGTCGTTGATTTTAATTGTTTGAATCAACAATCAATTGTTTGAATAAAATGTGCGCCAAGGTATACATACGGCTATATGGCTTTATTATTCTGCATAGTATGATTCAACGACAAACATGTCACAATGTTGATTTCTCAGAATGTCATTACTTGAGTACATATGTATTTTGCTTACTGCTGACTGACGTACATGTATTATATGTAAACAATTTATGGTGTGCATTAGTTCACATGTCCCACTTAAAAGGGGACCGTGTAATTCCATTATACCCATCACAGTAAGTATTGCTTTCCATTAACATGTAGCTATTTTGCATAATTATGTTCACGCATATCCATTGCAAGAATTTAGGGTATCCAAGTAACACAGATATTGCAGGTTGTCCAACGGTGCGCAGCTATTTTGCATATGTACACGCATATCCATTGCATGAGTTAGGGTATCCAAGTAACAGATAGCAGGTTGTCCAACAGTTCACAAAAGGCTCATTGAATGTACTTGAGCGTTGGCATTGTTTGCTGTAGCTTTTATGTATATGTTTCCTCTCTCTTAATAAATCATAATGAAAAAGGCGCTTTATAGCATTAGATAATCCGTTACTTGAGGGAGGGTGTTTCATCAGTATGCTGTTGATGAGAGCTGACTCTCTGGAAAAGTCCGCCCAACGCAGCGGATAAAATTCCGTCGAACTAGGCGATTCCGTCACTAAAGTGCAAACATTGCTGTTTGATTGGGGTCTCCTCCCAAAAATAACATCATACCTGTGTTCTAGAAAAGATAGTCATGAGCATAAATGCCACTAGAGAGGGCACCAAACCGTCACAAAATTGCAAAATCAACGATCAAAATTAGGGTTAAATGTAGCGCACAGGTGTGTTTACAAGGGATGTGTAAAAATGACGTTGGGCAGGTCTCTAGATATCCAACAAACACTGATTACGTCGCATAATACTGCATAAAGAATATTTCTATTTTCGCTGTTACCCAATATTACACAATGTTGAAAGAGCTCTAAGATTGTGAATTTCGTCCTAAAATGACACCACATTTGGACTTGTGAATAATAGCACTGGAACACCAAGACATCAAAATGCCTCAAATATGGCGAACAGAACACTGCAAACACAGCTGAATGGAACAAGTGCTTAATAAATTTGTTGAAATGGAATGTGATTAATGATACATGACTCTCATTTAGTGTTGTCATATCAAGTCAGTACGCTGTGTTTCATTTGTTCTAGATGCTGCAAACTGTGCACGTTATTTCACGCCCATTAACATAAGGGGGACACAGAAGGGAACCGCATTGTCCTTCCACAATGTAAAGTCGCGACCCTTCACGGTTGCCCTGACTGCCGGGGATAGCCTCCGGTGCCTGGTCCACACACACAGCTTTGGACCGCTGCTCCTCACTGTACTTCCCGGACATGAGGAAGCCCCTGTATTCCTCGGTCCAGTCCTCAGGGCAGCCCAGCTTGGCCGGGAAGAGCAGCTGGGTCCCGCGGTCAAGGAGGCGGCACACGGCGCAGGGAATGTCGTGGTTATTCAGAAACTCGGCGTTGTCGTGGGAGAAAGGGTCGAAGGGGAGTTCATACTCCGCCCCGTACAGGTACGACTGTGAGTTTGCTGAATCGCTGTACGTGGGTGCCCACTCCGGCTGCGATGGAAGACAGAAGAAATCCACCGAGCCACCCTTGTGCGAAAAATATGACCCACCGACAGTACCTGCATGTAGAAAGCAGGTTAACCAAGGAAATTTCCATTAGATATGATTTTATGAAAGAAAAACATTCTGATGGCGTTTCATCAGAGTGGCTGCTTTTCATTTTATCAGAACAGGTAAAACCACGTTTAACCCGTGGCCCATTATCCTCGTATCGCTCCTTGTAAATGGACAAAAATAGCGCTCGTTTTCACGCTTTGTGTCAGCTTGCATTTATGCTATGCAAACACGTATCTTTATATTACTGTTATGGGCGTAAACAGATCTCTTATGTACGACTATGAGGCTGAGTTTCTGGTATTGACGGAGGGTGCACTTATTTGACAGGTTTTGAAAGTACGTATGGTACGCACTACAAACAGACGGGGTTTCGTATGCCGACTTCCTTGTTGTCTTTGCGGCTAAGCACACACTCTGAATTTACAGACAGTGTGTAGTCACGAGAGGCTCCTCTGTCATCTATGTGGAAATTACCGTTTTCCTCTTCCATCCTGATACCTGGGAAGCCCAGTTCCAAAAAGAGACCTTTCCACCTGTATGTTCTAATTTGCGTTCCCATGATGGGCCTTGAGGTAAGAACCACATGCGGTCCATTGGAAATTCACCAAAGTTAACAAAAATTCTGCCCCGTCCACGGTTTTTTTTTTCTGAATACTCTCGAAAACATCCGTAGCAAATGCCAGGAGCACAATTTTCCATCCTTTGTTGAAGAAATAGCAAAGTCGGCAATGCTTGTTTCCCAGTGGATGAAAGAACGGGCGTCGATAGACCATTTTGAATGGGGGTAGGCACATGAAATTTGCCGACGGACGGTCACGTGAAACGAGCGTACTGTGGTCTTGTTCCCTAGCCCCACACCTACCTCCATTTTTTTATATTTTATATATTTTTTTGCACAGACCCTGGTTTTGCCAGCAAAACTAATCTGTAAGGGTGTGACATTCCCTGACATTTCCTACTAGCGACGCCCGTGGTTGAAAGCAACGTGATTACAAGTTGAATTTGGGGCTCATTTGCCAAATCGACTTACTATAGGTGGGTAATCACACAATTTATATTGAAATATCCCGTCCCGAATCACAGTTTTCACGAGAGAAGGGTCAACTGATGTGCATAGTGAGTGGGGGGTGGAGTACATTGCCCTTCTTATGCCTATGATTAGCATCTTATTTGTAACAACTCAAATGAAGACTGATTGATTAAAAAAATAATTAATACGATTTTTCGGGCCTATAAAATGCAAATATGTACGTGAACACGAGGCCCATAACCCTTACTTTGCATCGAAGTCAGAAGAAAATTGATCCATCAGACGAGAGGGTAATCGTACTACGGTTCACAAATTGAACAGTTCCAAGTACATACCTGCATATATGAGCTCTGTTTTGATGTCATTGGGGCATGTAGTGCGCCCCCATCGGACGTATGTGTCTCCTCCAGACGGTTTCAAGGTGGGATACCCAGACTCTTGACTACCTGCAATAGTGGGTACACAGTTTTTAGCATAAGAAAAGACAGATTCCCAAGGAAAGAGAGACCTAGCGACTACCAAAAGTACTGAAACGACGAAATGAAATCGACTGATCATGAGAGTAACTGACTTGGGCAGCAAAGCACTTCATTTTCTGTACCACCAGTTAAACCATATATTTCCCATTTCTTCCTTGAATAAATTTGCGTAGCCTCGACTTATTGTTTCCTCCTTTGAATAAAGCCATTCTCCCAGAGTAGGACATTGTTTTCCATGCATTCAATTATTTGTACTGATAGCAGAAATTAAGCAAATTGCGTCGGACCAAGAGCAATAAAGATCCACAACGCTGACAACAAAAGACTGACAAAATAACAATTTAGCTACTTTGAAATGCAATCAATGTATAAAGGCTGAAATTGCACGATGGACGTGCGAAGGCTTAGAGACTATTTCAAGACAATCTGGCGGAAAAGACGAAATAGCGAAAGTACAGTTGCAGGAAATTTTGAACATGTTCAAGCTTAACGCGGACATCTTTGCAAACTAAAAGAATGTCTGACAAAACCGACGAATGTTCTGAGACGTTTTGCCAAGTTGGAATGCAACGATAAATTTCTCCGAATTCACAAAACTCGATAGTCTATAGGTGAGGGTAGCTTAATTTTACCCTGGTCACAGGCACTTATCTCCCGGAAGAGACGAATTCCCGTCAGCAAGAGCTCTCTTGGACCGCCGGTGTATCATCAATCCAGACGAACCTCGATCTTCATCAATACCAGGATCCCCCTACCAATGTAAATGGAGTCGGTCAGCGCAAAATACCAGGCATGGTAAAGTGCTCCAAAAAATAGACGCAGATCACTCGGATGTCGATTTTGCCAGGTGACACCTTTCATGCAGTTTTTGTTATCTGCTACTAACAGACTTAGGCATGTCCTGTAAGCCGATTATGAAGAACTGTGTCCTTACCCAACGTCGACCCCATGGGCTTCGTGCGCGTTCCTTCCTTAGATCGCGCAAGGCATGGTGGAAACCAACATGGCGCTGCAAGATCCTACCCATGGGAACAAAGCTGGTTCTTACCAGGCAACATACCTGTACATCACAGACTACCGTTTTTAACACTTGAAGTACCTCGCCCACAATCATAAGCGTTTAAAATGGCATCTCATGGCGCGTAATGCCGAAAGGGCATAATGTTGCAAGTTGCTTATTCAGTGCTGTGGACTATAGTGTACCATGATGTATACCGTAGAATCCGCTGTTTACTCAATGCACCCAATCCGACTCCCCCCCCCCGCTACTCAGAAGCGAGGCCTGTGCAGCTAAATAGCCAAGCTCTAACTATGGAGCTAAAGATTATCGTATGATGCAATAGAGTAGGCAAATTTATAAGTAAGGCTTGTTCGAGTCTTCTGCTTCCCAATTTTTTGGACGCTGACTAGCCTCACTTTAAAGTGGGGCACTGTATTGCATCATGCGATAATTAGCATCACAGCTCTTGCAGGTTATTTTGCTGCACAGGCCTCGCTTATTAGTAGCGGTGGGTAGTCGGATCGGGTGCCCAATGACCCGTCATTTTCACAAGCCTATAAATCGAAGGCTGATGTGAGACAGGTGTTAGGGCCATCTATAACGGCAAACACGATGAAAATAGCCAGCAGAAATTATCATGACCGCTTAGCCCTTTTCCATCCAGACGCTCTCGGAGGGAGAGGGCGTCCAAGAAAAGAAAGTTGTTTGTTTGCTCGTGAAAATGATGAAAGCTTAGTTTGCTTGGAAAGGGTATATTTTATAAGCTTATCTGATGGATCGAGAAAAAAATACGATGTATCTCTATGTATGCCATACTTATTTTGTGATGTCAACGGCCGAACAGAAAATGAAAATGATTTATTCTGTTCCGGTGGCGTGTCGATCCTGTTTTACCTTATCACCCTTCATTCCTCGAGGACCGGTCGGTCCGGGCAGCCCCTGAGCCCCGTCTCGTCCGTCAGTACCATCTCTCCCATCTCGACCGTCCCGACAGAAAACAAATCCAGCGTCCTGTGGATCTGCAAATCGAAGTGTGTACACAAAATCCACTTCTCCGGTTAGTCTCTCAAAAGAAATCAGAACACGGCGCCGACCCCAAACATTAACGAACAGTCCCCAGCGGAATAGATGGGGCAGTCTGGGTGGTCGAAGTGGTGTGCAAGTTCTGGTACATTTTTGACGTATGCACATCGACCGCTCGGAAAAGTCTGAGCGGCTTTTCCTTGCTCCCTTTCCTTGAAAAAAAGTCGAAATAAAGTACAAGTTACAGTGTGAACATTTTCCGGCTCTTATGACTCTAGTTCACCTGCTACACTAACGCGCTTCATTGTGCGTTTCGTTGCCGGTGCATGCAACTTTAAGTGACCACTGAAAAAACAGAAAGAAGACCTTCAAACAGGGCAGACTGCATGATCCCACCTTGATGTGCAATTTGTGAATGATGTGACTGAGATTGGTCCATTTAATTAACGCACCTGTAGCTGCTTCCGGCCTTGCAGAGAGCGTTGCATTGCGCAGGAAGCTGCCGCCCATTGACACCTTCGATTCCCGATCTCTTCTGTTTCGCAACTGAGCGAACTTCCAAGTTGGAACTCTCACGGTGTCTCCTGCCGAGGAAGGAACCTCCAACCGAGCAAGGCGGTCTTCTTGAATGAGTATCTTTTCCTGTCAGGAAAAGGGGCCGGATTTGATTTTATATCAAGGGCGTTACATTCTTGTTTAAACCGTGGAGTATATCCAAGATACATGTGTAGCGCTGCTCATCGCCTTGCTGTATATGTAAGATGGTATTCTAACCATTAATAAAATTGATGCTTGTGTTTACGACGTGAACTCTAGGTGTTTTTGTGCTATTTTGAGATGTATGATTTGCTGAAGATGAAAAATTGTTCCTCTTGGGGAACAAATGGAGCAGTTGGCAAAAACAAAGGTTTAATCGAGCCAGCATGGGGAATCCCCCCCCCCTCAACAATTTGCTTTCCGATAGCGCCACAGTTCGTTTTTTCTTCATGAAGCCAGCTTTCTGTCTTCTTCTTGTTTTTTGTTTTCAGTAACTCTACCCGGTCATTTTCACATCAAGTTTGTGAAAATCAAATATATATCGCTCTCGAGTAGTGCGCCTTTTTCTGATATATGTCGGCCAATAATGAATGTTCACTTTTCCGCTGCTGTGCTCAATGCACCCGGGTGGGCACGCCTGCGCGTGTGGTCTTCAACTTCAAAATGACACCGTCATATTGAGCCGAAGCTCTACATTTGTACTGATAAGGAGTGTATTTTTTCTAACGTGCAACAAAATTTGAAAACAAACTGGGCGTGGAACGGTCGAGTTCTTAAGAGGGTGGAGTCCACCCCAGCTACGAGATGGCCCAAAATAGTCTGACTTTTTAGAGTTAATTCGAGTTTTCAGGGAAAACATCCCTTTTAATCTACGTTTACAAGAAAGCCAAATATTTCATTGTCTTGCTACATTCTTTCAGGGATCTTGACAGTAAACGGGGAACACCCTTGTGCCCTTCCGCGAGAGTTATATACCTCCATCTAAATTATAGTAATGTATTAAGGTTCTGGCCCAGCAGCAACACAGGACGTCTTTTTGACAACAAAGAGATCCATTTTCCCCTCGATGTAATTGCGAGATGTACCTGTGAAATGCCCACAGGTTTAATTCTTCCAAAATCAAGACTTTAGCATATTGTCGCAACACCCTCACCCCCAACTTGAAACGATTCTTCAAAGATCTCCTTCAGTTAATGAACCCAGCAAAAGTGGTGATCCCATAGACGATATTTTACCTTTTACATGTATCATGCAGAGAAGCTATGGGGGGAATTGTTCCTTCAGTGCGGTTAAGGTTATGAGGACTCACCCTGAGGGACTGCAGTTCCGTCTGGACGTAGAGCACGGTGAGACTGACCGAGACCGAGACGATGCACACGTTCAGCAGAGCGCCCGCCAAGAACCAGCGCCAGAACCTCCCGCTCTTAGCCGAGGTATGCTTCCTCAAGAGAAAATCGCCGTCGAGAGACAACTCTGCAGACTTGGGATTAGTAGCCATTCCTGCAGACGCAGGGAAACCCAAATTCTGTGACTGCATGCGAGCTCGAGATAGCTTCCCTTCGTCAGGCCGACAAATACTGTGAGTGGTAGAGGCGTGGTTCGCTTTGTTGATGAACATTCATAGTGGAGTTAAACAGCCAATATTAAGAGGCGTGAAATAGGTATCACGAGATACACGGAAACGATACAAGGAAGAAGAAACATGTGAAATGGTTAACCTCTTGACACTGAGGCCTGGTGAAGTACAACATTGTGAATAGACGTTTCCACAGGATCCCACTACAGACACTAAACGCAACAGTTTAAAGAAGCAGGATGTATAGTCTATTCAGATTTAATTTTCTGTAAATGCATAACTCTAAAGAGCACTAGATACTAATGTTGTGCTCGCTTACATTTTTATTGATTCCTCAAATTCATTTGTATACATCTGGGTAAAAACAATCAGACGAAAAGGCTGTATAAGGGAATAAGGGGGGGTGTTGACCACACAATCATGCGTTTTAGTTTGCAGTCGCGTAACACCTAAGTAATTCGCACGCGTGGTAGGCAGTTAACATGCTGCTTGTAGCTCAAAAGACGTACTTTTCTGCGCATATGAAAATAAAAAAAGGGAATAAAGAAACTTTTAAAAACTGGCAAAGCTAAATTGCAGGTTGCATAATTAACAAGCAAACGACTACTGGTCAAACTATAGTGGTTGCCCAACCTATACCCCAAAAATGCCTGTGCACAAGGCAATCTGAAGGGATTTAAGTCATTTGAGAGGGAGCTACATAGCTGGGAATTGAGCGCGATATTACATGCCATACACCAAGGGAGAATAAAAAACAAAATTTTATGAAATATTTTCAGTCCAAAAATGCTCGACTGTGTCGCAGTTTGATTCATACTCTTGCCCTTAGAGTATAAACTGTACTTCGGAATCGCGGGACAAGCTATGCATGTATTAGGCGACAAGCTTCGCACAATGTACGTGTATATTTTTACCCTAACAGTGCAGAGTTAGAACAGCAAAGTGAAATCCCATTACTGCGTTTTGTCCTACCAATGATGAAAAATCGCAAGATTTAAGTAGTAAAGCAAGCGAAAGAAGTATATCAGGTAACTTTGCAAAAAATGAATTCTTTTTGTTTTTTTGATTGCTCGAATCCATATTCCATTAAACAGTACGCCAGGGCTATACCCATCATTAATTAAGTATACTTGTATAAAACAAACAAACAAACCTGCAGTTATTTATCAAAGCTGTTATTCTGCATCATATGATTCAACGACAAACATCATGCAATATTTTATTCTTGAAATGTGGTTATCTGAGCACATGTATTTAAATTACTGTTGATTACCAAGTACATGCATTTTATGTTCAAAATTTGATGGTTTACGTTAATTCACCTGTAACTTCTAAATTCCACCAGACACAGTTATCAACATTAACATGTTATTAAACATTGCTTTTCTCAAACATGTACCACTCACCAACACCCATGCATAGCTATTCTGAGCATGCTTCATACTTCGTTCATGTTGTTAGTTTTAGGGGAAATAGATTCACGGTATAAAACGGATTCCAGGTTTTTAAACGGTTCACAAAAAAGCCCAGGAAGAGTAAGTTACTGTGCAAAATATTTTGTGCAATTTTGTTTTTTTCTTTCTCTCTCTTTCGTTTGAAGTGCACCATTACAACTTCAGGTTATCTTTGCCATTCTCGGGGGTTCATCAGTTTGCCGTAGACGAGAATTTCCCCTTTTGGAAAAGGGACTGCTCAGCGGACAATATCCGTGCGAATCCACCAGCGATTCTGCCAAATTCGCTGCAAAATTGGGTTTTCCTGTCGAAAATGAAATGATACCTGACAGTTGCTCCTGAATAAGCATTTCTCAGCATAAAAACCACCAAAGGGCACCAAACAAGTTCTAAAAGGCAAATCAAAAATTAAAGTTACAGCTAAAAAAAGCACACAGGTGGATTTCCGAAAGATGCTTTGCGTATAAATCCGAGGATAACTGATTATGTCACATAAATTGCCTATTGAAAATTTCAATTTTCAAATTCGGTTTAGGTGCATATGTTCCATTTCAGTGCAGCACACTTGTGCTTATGACTAAATGGAATTAGCACAAAAACACTAAAGCATGAAAAGGCCCTCAATATGGCAAACTGAAAATTGAAAATTATGGTTGAATGGAGCAATTGCCAATGTTGCGCGGTCCAAATTGACTCTGACAAAACGGAATGTGATGGTGTTACTACATGAATATATGTCTCCTTCGGTGTTGTCAGGTCGGTACGCTAGGTCTCATTTGTTCTAGATGCTACAGACTGTGCACGTTATTTCACGTCCTTGAACATAAGGGGGGCAAAGCAGAGAACCGCAAACCCCTTCCATGATGTAGAGGCGCGAGCCTTCACTGTTGGCCTTACTGCCGGGGATAGCCTCCGGTGCCTGGTCCACACACAGAGCTTTGGACCGCTGCTCCTCACTGTACTTCCCGGACATGAGGAAGCCCCTGTACTCTTCCGTCCAGTTCTCAGGGCAGCCCAGCTTGGCCGGGAAGAGCAGCTGGGTCCCGCGGTCAAGGAGGCGGCACACGGCGCAGGGAATGTCGTGGTTATTTAGAAACTCAGCGTTGTCGTGGGAGAAAGGGTCAAAGGGGAGTTCATACTCCGCCCCGTGCAGGTACGACTGTGAGTTTGTAGAGTCGCTGTAAGTGGATGCCCACTCCGGCTCCGATGGAAGACAGAAAAAATCTACCGAGCCACCCTTGTGAGAAAAATATGACCCACCGACAGTACCTGCATGTAGAAAGTAATAAACCAAGGAAATATCTATGAGAAATGATCTATTGCAAAGAAACCAATTCTAAAGGAGTTTCTTATGATCTTAGCTGTTGTCATCTTAGACAAATAATAGGTAAAAACGAATTTGAACGGATTTATTTTTTTATTATTTTGTATTATTATTTGGATGAATAGCAGTAAGCATTCGGTTTTTCGTTACGAGAGCTTAGACAAAGATTTGAATTTGCTGTTTGCACACAGCCGAATTTGTCACTGCTTCGGTGACCTGAAAGCCTTTATTTTTGGGAGGTAAGAATGTTTAGTTGATGCTGCTATATAAGACAAGAAAAAAATAATAAAATAAAAGAATAATACAATACAGCCAAAACAATACAACCATGAAAACCAACATCTTGATATCAACTTCTGAATCCTGAGTTTGCTCGCTGCACAGTTCACGAAGTGTGACGACCAAACACTTGTGCGTCAGTTCGTGATGTAGATGATGATTTTGGGGAGTTTGGACCTAATTTCAAACTTTTGAAACGGCTTCAGCACGTGTTTGGGAAAACTGTTATGTCATTTTATTTCAAATTTCCAATCATGGAAAAATTGAAGGCGACGATTTTTATGGTGCGTGTGCTCTGCCAGCCCCCCCCCCCTTACGCTGAGTAGCTTTAGGCCTTCAAATACGTACCAGCATACACACGCTCCGTGTTATTGCCAGTCGGGCAGGTAGTGCGCCCCCATCGGACGTAAGTGTCGCCCCCAGACGGTCTCAAGGTAGGATACACGTCATGTGGCCCGGAATCGAGTGTCTCTGCATTCAGAGTTGATTAAAAGCACAACAGCATCACAGCCGATTCATTTTGATGGAATACGATCGCAGTGACAATGAATTTGAGCAATCATCTTCTCTTCCAAATTCCTGACACCTCTTTGAGATTAATCGTAATGGAGATTTCTTTAGTTTCCGTTGATCCAACAAAATTCATGCCATTTCGCTCGAATATATCAATTCTGTTCTAGTCAAACACAAACATAACAAATGTGACCCACCATCCCAAAACCAGGCTGAAGTTGGTATTTGTGATGTTGGACAAATCCTCTCCTTCAGCTTTTTTTTCACTCTTTAAAGTGATCCATGTTAAATCTAAATTCTGTCTACAGTTAGCTTCTTACGGGTAGTGATAGCTGTAAAACTCCCATGAAAATCTGAAGAGTGGAAGTTCCACTATTTTAGTGAAGTTACCTACTTCAGCCTGGTTTTGGGATGGTGGGTCACAAATGTGCACATTAAAAACGAGAAAGCAGGGAACTATTTTGCAAGAAATCGCAAACGGGAGCATTTCTCTAGTCGGCAACTCAAGGCTTAAATCATAAAACGAACTCCTTCACTACATAAACTAAGCCAAGAACCAAAGCATAATCATAGTCAACATCATGAGTGAGTTGACAGACACTTTAATGTGATGTGCTCAAGAGGAATGCACGAGTTGAAGATGTCAGGTCAAGCATGCAGAAAGAATGAAGGATGCTTAAAAATATCAGGACCTTTTCACATCTTTATTGAAGGGACGTATTCGCTGATTGGACACAAATTCCACTCGCTCGTTGAACAGTATTACTACGGGGAGTTTTTACTGACTTGTTGCCAAGTCGTTAATAAATCTTTAACACAAGTGGCGTCAACCTCATGTTTACGTGTGAACTTTTCTATTACAGTGAGATGGGACACCAGCCATGCGCCGCGGAGTGCGCACGTAAACAGAGCGTGATGCCATTAGGTTTACGGTCTATCGATTAGGCTTCCTTCTCAACCCGCGATCCACGCGGTTTGTCCGTACAAGAGCTTGAGCAGGGACGTTGGTTTGCTCGTCGCTCAGCGCCCAAACAGGGCTCTGAAGGGCCGATGGCTTTGCACTGTTATTGGCTACACTGTGCTCTACCTGTGACCGCGAGGTTATCACTTCCTGTTGGCAATGCTTTGACACGGGCAAAGCATCAGTTTTGGATGAACGAATAAAGTGTAGTGAGAACATTTCCAGCAATGAGGAAGAACAAGAAAAAATATCGAAGTGAGAACCGCCGGTTGTGTAACGCATTGAGCGAGCTCGCGCGCCTGGCAGAAATTTACCCACAATGCTCTGAACGTCATTGGTTGTGACCACGTGTGACGTATTTCCTTCATTAAAATCTGTGCAAGGACATCAGCCCTTTCCAACGCCCTGTGTGGGCGCTGGGCGACAAGCAAAACTCGGCACGCGATCCACGCGGTTTGGGCGTACACGAGTTTGCGCAGAGACCCCCGTTGATTATCTCGTCCCCAATGAACAGATAATCGACCATCCAATCACCGACTTTCTAAATTGTGTTCACAGCAAATGCGCATCGCTAGCGGATTCTATGCCAACATCCTGATTGGTTGAGACTCTTGAGTGGATGAATATTAATGAACTTCAACAGCATCTGTTTAAGACCGCAACTGCACGCGCTTCACCGAGTGCAGTGCACTCGAGGAGCATTTTTGTGTGCGTTGTCCACATGGAGTGGTCGTCGATCAAACTTTACATTATAAAGTGTAATGATTTGAATGGAGTCCGAGAAGTATAATATTGTTGTCAGTAGAATCCACCATTAAGATACTGGGGATAGGGACAGTAAGACCCTAGCAGCTGCAAGCAGCGTCTCAATGCCAGAATACATTTGTCTAGTTGCGAAAAGATATGGAAAAAAAGTCGGTGATTTTCCAGTTGGTTCCAATATGCACCGACCTACTCAAAGACCTACTCGTATAGTCGAGGGTTTGTACCCTTGTACTGCGCAACGCTACAAAAATGATTACGGGGTGGATGCAGCTAAAATAAGTCAAACGTGTCAACATCATGACTCACAAAATGCATGAGAATCGACATGCGTCGCCAGATCTATACATGCCCTGACGCTTTGAGAAGAAAGTCTCATTTGAGTAATGGAGGAAGCCTGCCATTTGCGCAGCGGTGCAGGATTGAATCTCATCGCGCGTATGCACTGCACCACGCGCATAATAGAAAAACAGTGCAAGAACGCCTATGCCAAATTGTTAGAAATCGAAACTCGGCCATTTGTTACACTACAGCCGCGCCTGCGGATTTCGACCGAAGTTCACAGACAAAAAAAGACTATCAAACGACTTGGCTAGTCTAGCATTTACCACCCTTACTGACGTCACCCAGAGCTCTCTTCGATCGGCGATGCATCATCAATCCAGATGAATCTCCGTCCTCATCGGTGCCAAAATCCCCCTGTCAAGTCAAATCAAATAGGCTCACACGTAACGGCAGCTCGGCTTTGAGTATACTCAATGAGCCCATTTTAAGATCAGTATATTATTCGGACAATTCTCAATCTTTTGTGAGTAAACTCGAGGATAACTTCGACTTTGTATAAACTCAGATATCGAGTAGATATTTTCAAAACGCTTTACCAATCCAGATCTTCCACGTGATTTGCCTCACTGTGTCACGTGCTATTCGGTAATTCCACCTTTAAAACTCGCCTTCAAACATGTACTCAACTGCATAATTTGTTTTACTGTGCCAGTGATAGCCAGTGATATACACGAGAAACTTTCAATTTTTTACGAAGATATACGGAATGATATTCAAATGTGGACATTTGGATGGGACATCCTGGATTAGGACTTAGCGCATCTATAAATACAAAATCGAAAATGACAAAGGGTGTTTGGTTTGTGGAAAACTGTGTAAAACGTCTTGACTTCAGTAATATTTCATTTCTCTGTGAAGGTAAAGGTGACAGTTCTGCGGCTTTTATTGAGGCTAACAGAAATAGTTCATGGGATCCAACAAAACCTAGTAAAAGCTCGATTGTGTGGACCAGTGTGTAGTTTTTTTCAATAGCCGCTCTGATGACCCTGACAATGTACAGTTTAGGGACAATTTACAAATGATTTTTGTTCCTGTTGGGAGTGAAATGCGTACTACCTTGTCACCCTTGAGTCCAGGAGGTCCGGCCGGTCCAGGCGGTCCAGCCGGTCCCTGCGCCCCGTCTCGTCCCTTCTCACCGTCTTTCCCATCCCGGCCATCTCGACAGAAAACGAAGTCACCGCTTCTTGGATCTGCTGACCAAAGTATGCCCAAATGTACTTGTCACCCATGTACGAGGGAAACATCAAACGTGCTCTCAAAACGAATCAATACAACAAACAGGGACAATCTCACGGCCGGGGGCGGATTCCCCCCCCCTGTATGTTTGAATTCGCAAAGTTGGTGTCAAAATGTCCTCAAAGAGTGACTCTACAACTCCTAAAAGCTCACCTCCTGAAAAAAATGTATTGCGGTGATATTCGACAAAAATGTAGTGGATATGGATTCCGCTCCAGGCTCTTTTTGGATTAAAATACTATGAAAATAATAGAGTTGAGACACTTTCTGGTCGGACAGTTCAGTCTGGCTGGAGATTTAACGCACCGTATCTTGCAGCATCCGGCCGCGAAGAGAGTGTGACATTGTCTTGGAAGCTGCGTCCGATTGACGCCTTGAATTCCTGCTCTCTTCTTCCTCTTCGCAATTGGGCAATCCTCCAGGTTGGGGCACTCAGTTTCGGGTCGTCTTGTCTCTCAGTGGAGTCCTCCAACCATGCCAAACGCTCCTCATGAATGAGCACCTGCTCCTGTAACGTATATCGCGGAGTTTTTCCAGGGAAACAAAAATTCATTTGGGAAACTATAACTGAAATCACCCGTAACAAAGTGCTTCACGAATGTACCCGACACAGTCAAGACCTTGGCTCACACATGCTGCTTGCCTAGCTATTTTCTACAATAATTCCAAATGTACCTCGTTGATTTATCGCAAAAGTTTGAGGGGTTAAGAACTGTGGTGTCTCATCATGTGCATGACCAAAATTCAGCAACCCCCCTCCCCCATCGTTTTCATAAAGAAAAAAAATGGAAAACGATCACTAGTAGTCCTTCCAAAGAGAACAGTTCTGCATTGGAGAAACCTGCCAACGCATGCACCAGTTTGATTGGGAATTAAAAATAATAATACATGTATCTTTGATTGTTTTCTATTTTGACAGAAGGTTGGATCGATTCTACCTGTTTGATGGAGCCTTCAACTTTGCCATCTGGTTCTCTACACCCGTAGATTTGAGATGAGCTGGATTCAGAAACGGCGCATCTCATAATTTAAATAAGTTGAGACCCCTTTGTTCCTCGCGTACGAATGATACTCAAGTCGTTTGGTTTTGATGCCATTCGTACGTGGTGTTATACTGGCGCATGTAACAATTCATCTTGGAGGCAAAATGTTTTAGCTTCATTTGTTTTTGTCTATTTTTAAGTGGGAAATTGAAGGTTTCTGGTTCTGGCTGTGAATTACCAAGGCACTCATATCTATAAAGGGGAAGGGGTGTTGCAGATATAACAAATCTATCTTTCTCCCTTTCTTATCTTTTCACTTTATACGCAAGTGGGGTGCAAATTACCTGATCACGTCAGCAGACGATAGTGAAGCGGGCACAAGTTGCGCCCTTCAGGCCAAAGACTCACCTCGAGGGATTGCAGCTCCCTGCGGACGTAGAGCACGGTGAGACTGACCGAGACCGAGACGATGCACACGTTTAGCAGCGCGCCCGCCAAGAACCAGCGCCAGAATTTTCCGTTTGTCGCCGACGTGCTCTTCCCCGAGAGAAAATCACTCGCCAGAGGGACCTCGGTTGATTTGTGATTTGAAGCCATTTTCCGAGGTCGCCGACGAAATCTGAGTCCCTGGTGTCTTTGTTCCCTCTAGAAAGCCCTATACGCTAGCTGGGTTGACAAGCGCTCTAAATACTTGTCGCAGACACATGACTTGATGCAGCTGCGGTAAGCTTATAAGTATAAGACACCATCAGATAAGCGGAAGCATAAGGAAGACGGGAATGCGATAAAAATAATCTCGTGATCACTTTTGACTGAGATGAATACAAAAACATAAGTTGCTGGAGTTCAAGAGGATGGCCGACACCGCAACTGACAATAACAGGAAACCCAGAACAGTCCAACGGGGAAACAGCTCAAAGATTCCCCCCAAAGAGCTGGGGAAATTACGCCACTGTGTTAAAGTGCCGCGTTTATTTCAAGTCTAGTCTGTAATTTTTCAAGTGAAAAATTGCTGCAATTGAATGTAGTCACTCAGTGCCGCAAAACGCGTAGCGACCTGATATGTGTGTATGTGGCGGGGGGGGGAGCGGGCAACCCCCAATGATTAATAAATACAGCTTCAGTTAGCAAGTGAATCCAACAAATTGGTGTATATAAACGATATACCTCGGCCTTCGGCACTTTTTGAATTTTACACGACTCAAGTAGTGAACAAGTTATAAGTAGGCAAATTGACTCCAGCCCCCCCCCCGAAAATACCTTCGAAACGCCCCTGGCCACCAATATATTGCCACATATGGTTTTCAAAAGTCGTGGCTACATCGCGTCGCAGTGCTGTTACTGTTCCTGATAAGATCGGTCGTTACAGGAAAACATCAACCTTCAAGAAGACATTCGTGTTTTCCGTCTTTGTAATGATACCCTAAATCCAGAGGTATATGACTTTAACCTTCCCCCAAGAGTCGTGTATCCGTGTTAGATCTTATCCAGCACTTCCGCGCTCATCGGATACTTTGCCAACTGGTTTTCTTCCAAGATTGCGTTGATGGGTAAGCCAGGCTGTCATTGGATGAATTCATACAATGCTCACCCTGTGCAAACCGTCCTGGTAAGTTATCAGGGGAATTCGACAGACAACAGGAGACCTCGATTTCGTCTCTGGCATTGTTTGCAGCAGTTGCTCCCTGGACAATCAATTAGTGGCAGACCTTCTGACTAAGACACTTCGTGGCGGCAAACACGTCGTTTCCATGTCACGTTTGAGGTTATACAGGGACCGGTATGCAAGCTTAACATAACAAAGCAATGCCAAACCAACCATGTTGGAACGGGATGTTTAATTGATCACCACTTTACATTTTTAAATATGACCTCATACATGTAGGCCTAATAGCTTTTGTTTCCACGTGCTGAAGCTTTACGTAGTACAAAATTCACTTGGAATTCTGGAAACAAAACTATAGATTTACGGGTTGCACATTAGGGCCCCCACAACAAATTGAGTCAAATCTTCCAGTGGTGCAGCATTAACATAGAATATAATAGACTATTTACATCCTTTGTTCTTGTTTTCTTTCCTAATAATCCAAGGCTGCTGTTGTAACAAGGTCATCTCCAAAATCTGACAGGCCTCTAACCAATGAGGTATGATTGTACACAACTCCAACTCTGTTCAGGCAGACAACCGTCCACTTGTTTGCCTCTGCACGTGCCCCAAGCTGGACAAAGAGAGGGCGCTATTTTCCTAGCAATGGAGGCTCCTTTGGTAGGAACTGCACTTCGCTGGTGTACGAACGACTATGAATTACACGCGTTGCGTGCGCGTCGCTACCACAAAAAAAAAACCGAACACTCCCAACCAGCATGACTCTTTCAACCGATGAGGATTTGCTTCTGCTCAAGGCGGGCCCTGTATTCACACATGCAACTCTTTAAATGCAAACTGACATAGGATTCCTTTGTAAATTTACAGAATTCTAGGCTGTGCACGTATTATGGATAGAGGTCATTGAGGTCACCACCTTTTTTATTGCCTGAGTGGACCGGTCACTGTCAGCGAGATTGAGTCGTCACAGAATCGTGACTAGTACTGTGAATGATTGGAACAAAGCTTGGACAAGATGACCAAGCTACCTGGTATCCGCCTCGAGCATAAGCATTCCCTTCCCCGGTCGGTTTAAAAGAGAAATTTTCGTCGGGAGTGTTCATTTTATTGGTAACCACGCGCACACCGTAACACGTGCATTTCATACAGTTGTTTGTGAACAAGAGACAGTTTACTTCAGACTACAGAAAATTGCTCCCTCCCTTTAGTCCGTCCATCTGGACATCTTGGGGCTTGTTGATCCTCTAGGGTCACCCCTGTGTTGTAAATAGAACATTCCACTCTTGCAAGATGCAGCTGACACGTTTAACATTCCTTTTGTATTGTTATTTTATGCACAAGCTATCACCATGCATCTTGTTGGCTACTGCCTGTAGTTTTTGGCTTAGGAGGCAGTGCATATTGCGCTGTTGTAGTGTGTGGTATTGCTGTAGCTCTCACTGCGGACTGTACCTTTGGTGACATCCTTGTGGAATTTCTAGTGTGGTTTAGCTACTGTGATTTTAGTTGTTTGTCTTGTAGTATTTTAGACTTTTTAGACCTTATTTAAGCATCGTCAGTGGGTGTGTTTGCTGTCGGAGTTGGCTGTAGTACACGGTCACACACTTGAACACACCTGCTCATGCAAGACTGACGATTAACAAGCCATGCTCGGCGCCGGGAGAATCTTCCAGGAGCGACTTCTCACAAGAGAGGTTAGTGTCAGTTAATTAGATATAAACACCCCCTCTTTGGGCTCATATCCAAGGCAGGTATACCATATAGGTGCTTGAGTAAGGTGCAGCGTTATCTGTCTTCTGAGAAAGATGGACAGCTAGGCCCTATCTTTTATAAGATTGTCCTGATTGAGCAATATAATCGGGCCCCTATTGTCAACATTTCTTTGTTTTCACTGTCGACTGTGCGTTGAAAGAGATGCTGAAGAAAGTATTGATGTGTAGCGGTATGTCATGAAATGTTTTTCACGTCATTTTTCATGCCTAACGCACTCACATTGCCTGCTGTATCTGTCTCCTGTTACGTTTCTTCAATGTTTTGCTCTCCGACGCCGCTATCGTTTCGTTCTAAATGGTGCAGTTGCACTGTTTGGAATCTGCATGGCCCAGATTTAAAGTAAGTAGATTTTTTTTCTACTTCACCAAATACTATGGCCAGAATTCTAAAGTTGTTCACAAATTCCCTGTTCTGAGGGCTGAATTTACCCATGGCACTGCACAGATTATGAAACATTTGTGTAATTTTGAATGTAATATGGCAGTAACCTGTGCATTTGTTTTTACTAGTTCTGAATATGGGTGTTCTGTTCTCGGCATGCGTGCGTGCTCTGAGCCTGTGCAATACTGCACCACTTGAGGCAGTCAGTACATGTATCTGTATATTGTTTTTACAATCTCGTAAAGGTTCACATGTTAAATAAATCCCTCCGATGCACCGACCTGCTATTTTACTGATCATGGACCGCTGTCCGTCAAATTGTGAAGGCCACTTAAAATCATGCCCCCAGCCCCAAAGACCCTTTAATGGCATTTAAATCGATTTAAGGGTGTCCCTGGGAGTGCGCCAATGCCCACCAATAAAAAAAAACGAGAGGAAAAGGTCAGAATAAGGTCACAGTACCTTTTTATCCAGTAAGGGGGACCACCAAGTCAGCAAAAATGTGACCCCCCCACATGAAACAACCCAGACAGCTGTCTAGGTGTAAACTATTTAAACCATCATCCCATATCAAACCGCTATACTGCAATCATTCCCTCTCCAGCCATGGTAACACTGGCAGGCACAATCGTGATGCGGCAAAGCGGACAAGAGGAGCCCAGTAAATACAGCCCTCTTAAGACTATTTCTTATGAATTCAATAGGGGGCGCTGTTTTAGCACACGTCAAAATCTTCCCGACGCATCTACCGTGACCGCTGCAGATGGACTGACTGCATTCCAAGGCAGCATCCGTCGTGGTCTTGACCAGCGGACCCAGGGCTGATGCGATGTAACTCTGGACCTCAATACAACCCTCTCTTGTTTTGGTGTCGTTATACGCATCCCACAGCACTACCCCAGACACGCCCATCTCTGCACTCAATAAAATGGTGTCTCGTAGGTGCTCCTACAGGGAAAACACTGTAGTTATTGTAACAATGTATTTATTTTTATGTCCCTAAGAATTGCTGTAACTGTTGCTATTAAGCCTTCAAACAAATTTTTTTAAATTATCCACCTTATCCCCCTTTTATTTCAATGTATCATGGTCTTATTCAACTCTCACTCTTGTAGTCATAAATCTTTCATTTATTGACCTTGTGTATAACTTGGTATATACATTGCAAAACGGAAATATATGAAATGTTGAGTCCAAAAGACGTCTAGACATGCGTGATGAAATAAATGTAATGATACTCGCGTTTTTGCTTCAAGAAAATCTGAATGTAGTTGTGTACATAGACCTATTGAAAAAAATTGCCCTTTTTAAGTACAGGTAATTTTTTTCATACTTGCAGGGTTTTGTTGCAACAGGCAATGATGGGGCAATCCACGTCGGAACCAAATTATCAATTTAGACGTGGTTGAACTTTTAAAAGTTAACTTACCAGGTTAAGAAACAGATCGGTTCCTTCATATTTAATTCGACAGTAACTGAATACTGGGGTCGACTGATGTTTGGATTTCTGTCGACATCTGAAAGTTTCGTCAAGAACTGACTCCACAAACTGGACTGGATTCTCCACCTCGGCCCCTTTGTCCTTTGAATCACTGAGATAAATGGAGGGATACAGGGCGGTCACTTCGTCAAACAGCCAAGGCATCTTCTTTGCAACTTGTATGGCAAGTTCGGAACAGTTGTAGGCGATTGTCTTGAATTGGCAGTACGGATGATGGTAGAAACCCCAGAGGGCGTCTGGTCGTAGTTCTTTGGCCAACTGGATTGTGGATTCAAACAAAGATTTGGCGGCTTGCTCGTATTCGAGTTTAGCGACCATCTCCAGACGTGTGGTGTTCCAGTCGGGGTGGCGGAGTTGCACCAGACTGATTGAAATGTCCTTGTAGAGTCTCCTGGTATAATCCCATTCCGGATGCCAATATTCCCAATCAATGACAGCAAGTCCTCTGAAGTGATCATCCGGGACTCTGTTCAAGATGTCGATGGTGGCTTTCTCCAAGTGTGCCGACAGATTTACCAGCTTGATATGGTTCAAAGAAAAGAAAATTGTGCTGAGTAATTATAGGGTTCTAAAGTAATGTAAAGAAACTGAAGTGTAATTTAAAAAAATCTAAAGCTTTTATTAAAGGTGGTCATTATTTAAACACCCCCATTTGCCGTAAATTTTCAAAATTGGCAAATTTGGGGCTCGCTATCCAATCAACTTGTTTCTTTTTGACTTCCCTAGAGTGACTGCTTCGAGAAAGGTCAATAAGAAACGCTGTAGGTTTTTAACACTAAAAGTGCAGCTCGCGTGAGTTGTCTTGTAAAAAAAATCTGTGGGTGACAGGACATTCAAAGATAGCGCCCCCCCGGCCGAGCATTTTTTAACGGCTTCGATTAGTGACTGGCAAATCGACCTTCAAATTTATGTCGCTTCTTTCATCATACACGCGGTGCGGCGACATGCAAACACGTTCGACCACTCGTTCACGTCACATCGACGTCGGTCAAGAGCCGTCAACACCATGACGCCGTGAGTGTACAGCATGTAGACTTTACAGATTTTTTTTAAAAAATTGTTCACTATCCTTCTATTTCCGGCAAAAATTATTGTGATAGGGAAAATGGTATGTACAATGTCTGGAAATTGAAGATTTTGTTCACAGAATTAGGCTTCAGCAAGGAGCTCTGAAAAGAGCGGCTTGTTGCATCATGCTGCTCATGCAGTTTGGACCATACTATTATCTCACGGGGGTGGTAGTGAGACGGTGATAATTTGGCGAGGTCAACTCCTTTTTTAGAAAGAAATTTTCTTTCAAACCATTCCAAATTCTTCTTTAGGCTTTCAATGACTTTTTGTCCGTACACAAATCTATTTTTAGTAGTTGATGTGTTTGGGCGTTGGGACGGTATTTTGGCGGTTTTAATTATTACGTTTTAATATGGACTGCTCCACCAGCCGCACGGGGCACAAACATTTTTGTTGTGTCCACATGTCCGTTACAACGGTTGGGGTACTCAAACGAATTATATTTCTTTTCAGAGATCGGGAACCCTGCAAAAATGGACCACAACCGAGGGCGAAATGCTTCGATTTGGCAGTTTGAGTGCTCCAATCAATTCTTCCTCCACATGTTGTCAAAATTGGGCCCCCTTTGCCCACATGATTCGACCGAATACCAGTAAATCAAACACGTTGCAAGATCGTTTAGCGAACGTGACGCCAAGCTGCGATAATGTAGGCCTACTTATTGTTGGGCATTAATACCAGAAGTTCAAGACCCAACAATCTAGTCTTTCTAGTCTACTCGACAAGCGAAGCATGACGCATAAACCCACACACGTATAAGATAGGCGAATACAACTGTACATACATACACGTACATGTATATTACGCTACGTACATAATTATGTACACTGTGATGTACAAGTGGGTGCATGTGTACTGTACATCTGAACACATGTACATGGCCTGCAAAGTCGACATTTATTCCGGAGTAAGGATATCTCTTTTTCGCAAGACGTGCCAAGTTACCAATTAATCGAGAAGATAGATCTGTTATTAATATTGATATTACTATTGTTAATAGAGATATCTCCGTTTGTAAAAAAGATATACACGTACTTTTACAGAGATTGTGCATAGCAGCCTTTTTCCTGGTTAGCCATGCGTAGCCTGTTGTGCTATTCCTCCGTAACAAAAGCAGTCACCAGAAAGGTGGCTGTTTCTAATAGAGGTAACAGTATACTAGAAATATCTCTATTTCACGATTAAGTGTTAACTTTGTACGTCTCAAAATACAGATATATATATATTTGGGGATTAACCGTCATCTCTGCACGCCATACAAAGTACATGTACGTAGCTTGCTCTGTAACTTTGCCGTAAAGCTTAACCCACGGGAGGTTGGTTGGCCGTGATAGTCCACAGTGACTGGGTCTCGTGCGTGAGGCCCAATATTTTTACCCCCGACAAAAAAAAGCGCTGAGACCGGCTTCAACGAGGCTAGGATAGCACAGGACTTACCTGTGGAACACCACCATTGACAAAAACACCGTTTTTAACAAACGGATAAAGGCCTATATGGTCATTGTAGAAAATCACGGAATTGTCTGCTCCGGAGGCGATGTTGTATGCCGTCAAATTAAGGTCGATCCCGAAGTTTGCCTGGCAGGCATTGGAGTGAGTGTTCCAGATTGCAGCGAAGGGCCGGCTACCAATCTCCCCTAGGGAGAGGTTTCGCGTCGGTGTTAGACGTGACATCGGCAGCACAGTCACCAGAACGGAGAGACGAAGCAACGCCGACGGACACTTTTCCATGATGATGATCATGCGTTCTGTTAACATGTTTAAGGCCCTAGCTCTAGACCTGTGGTAAAAGCTCTTTACGCTGTATAGCAGGACGAATTGTCATCAATCTGTGCGGTTATTTATATGCGCATTCAAAGAATATTTCACACAATATACCCACGGGTGATTGAGCACGTTAGTGTGTACTACCCGCGCCAGTGAATAAAAATTAAATTACATGTACTATACCTTATGTGAACCTAGACTTGACCAAGTCGGGATTCTGACGTTTATCTGTATAAACGTTTATGTTTTGGCGATAGAGGATTCTCAGCGCTGAGCGGCGTTACTTGCTTCGCGCCCTCTTGTGTCCACTTATTACTTTGAGTTCAGAAATCCCGACTTAACGAATCTGCCAAACGTTTGTACCATTATACGCAGCGAAAGATCTCATTCACCAATAGTGGTAGCAGCCAATCTCATTGCAGGACTTGTTTTTACATCGTTCATACCTGCATTGTAATGAACGGATATACAGGTCTGACTACTTTGATTGGTGGAAATTCTAAGGCTGACACTTATATTGATGGAAATTCCGTATACGTTATGCAATTAAGATCGTGTCGCTTATGTGCAACTATGAACGTACAGTATTACCGACAGGGGGTCCGAATGGCTTATCCGTCAAGTCAGATTTATTGACTGGTAACGTATGACGTTGTCATGGATGTATATAAAAAATCTGGACCCGCAATGCCCTCAAGCATCTTATACTGATCATTGAATCCACTATTGGCCATTTCAGTGAGCCGAAAACAAAGCTTGCCCGGCAATGCCCGCCCTTTGTTCTCCCTGGCGACAATAGGTACAATGGCCAGCGAGCCACCTCGCGAATCGGTTCGTAAAATAGACACTGGTTGGCTTCTATTTCATACAAAGGTGTTGAAAGCCCAGATTATTTTTTTATTATGTCAGTGCAGGTTTTACAATGAAGACTGTCACTATTGACGGCGTTTTATCAAGGTTATGCGAGCTGCCGAGCGCGACGACCGTGTACTGAGTACAGGCTGAAGAAATGCCACGGCTGACTGGGAAGAGCAAAGTAATAATCCGACTTGATTCAAGTCTAATGTGAACTCCGTATGTGAACTTTACACTGGTCTCATGCATCAGAGATAGCGTTCACCACAAGCGCGCAAGTGCACTTCATTTTCAAGCAGACAACAGCATTTTATTGTGCAAACAGGCGATGGGTATCCCTTGTTACTCCTTTCTGGAACACAAAATGCCGACGTCGAGCTACCCAAACAAACGAACCAACTGGTGAACTGATAGAATCCGAATAATAGTGAAATTACAATGGGAGGAAAACCGGTAACATTGGAGTTACATTTTCATTCGACCAAGTCTGACAATGACCTACTGCGCATGGTCGGAGTGTAGCAGAGCATAGTGCACGTACATTTTTTTCAATAAGTGCCATATTTTGTAAAATATTTTCAAAAGGATGGAAACTGTGATGCTCCTGTATTAAACCGCTTTGTTGCAATCATGCCCTCTCCAGCCATGGCAACACTGGCAGGTACAATAATATTGCTTCCCGCACCCATATCACGATGTCACAGCGGACTAGGGGAACTCAGTAAATACCGCCCAAAGATTGTTTCTCTTAAACTCAATAGAGGGCGCTGTTTTAGCGCACGTCATGATCTTCCCGACGTATCTACTGTGACCGCTGCAGATGGACTGACTGCACTCCAAGGCAGAATCGGTCGTGGTCTTGATTAACAGATCCAGGGCTGGTGCGATGCAACTCTGGACTATGATACAACCTTGTTTGGTCAAACGCATCCCAAAGCATCACTCCAGACACGCCCATCTCCGTACTCGATAGACCTTTCCACTAATAAATTCATTATGCCCGCATGCGCACAAATGGCCAAGGCGGCAAAGGCCATTGGAAATGTACAGGGGTGCGATTTTCATAATTTTCTCTCAGGGTTTCTGGCTTTGTTAAGGTTTTCTTCAGTTCCTAGCCTAAGCGGGGTTTTTAGTGCTCTGTAAAAAGGCTTTACAGTCGTAAATTTTCCTGTGTGCTTGAGATGTTAAGCGGGGCTGGGAAAATACAAACTTGCGTGCATATCGAGTCGGACAACATCGTTGCTCAAATACAAAATTAAAACCATACAAACGCTGGGATAATCGGAAATTTTTGCACGTTTATCAGCCTTGGTCTCTGGGCCCTCTGAAAGCAGTGCGCTGGCCATGCATTGCCCAATATGAACCTGTATTTCGGGCATGCCGGACACAATAGGAGGGCTCTATTTGGTTTTAAGTAAAATCTTACGGACTTACTCTGAATGTTACCCAATTCAAACTGCGCCCACCATCCTATGTGCCACATACAACGATGTGAATAATAACATCATTCTTGAGGACCATTTACTTCAAATTTTGATATATCCTCAGTGTTACCGATTTTATTTCAGAAGGACCTTTAACCCCAATTCAGAATTGACACCAATCCTGGTGGGGTTTTTCGCATCTTTTTTCAAAATGACATTCGCTTGTGCTTCCTGAACGTAGACACGAAGTCGCATACCACGCCTCGCTTTTTTCCCCTATTTTGACCTTTGTATGAATGTCTTGTCTATTCCGGATTACCACTGCCGCAGTGGTTGGGAGACAGTCGTAAAATAGCCATCGGAGGGTTACACTGTGCATAGTACAGAGATCTTCATTCATCCATAACATTCAGTACGATTATTAAACTGAAGTTTGCTTTATTAAAGCTACCATTTTGCTTTCATGACATAATTCTGAGTACAGAACACACAAGTGTGTAAACGCCTTCAATCGTGGACTCCCTATTGTTCCTCTTTTGTTCATACTTTAACTTTTTCGGAAGACCTCACATATGTTTTGTACACGTTTTCCAACCGTGGACTCTTCGGCAACCGTGGACCCTATTGTCCCCTTTTGTTACAGGTCCACGATTTGAATGTGTATACAAACTCACTATATCAACTTTTTGTTGAGTAGCATAGATAACACTCTAAAACGTCTGATGTTAAAATCAACACTTTTGGTGTTATCAGATGACCACACCATAGGGTGTTACTTTACGTGTTACTCTGCACTGGAGGGTGTGAAAAGTAACACCAAATAGCACCAAAATGTTTAAAACCAGTGAAAAGTGTGGCTGTAGTCCTCTGATAACACCGGGGGTGTTAAAGTTAACACCCCAGTTTTTGCAGTGTACACGTACTTGAAAAGTTCACGGTCCGCTTTAAGTTAAGTGTTGTACTTACAGACAGCTTAATTTGCTTCACTGAGATACAGTTGTTACAATAAAAATACCCAAGTACCTCATCGACAATAACTTCTGTCCGAAGAAAAAAACAAGCTCTCGATCAAAAAAGAACGTGCACTGTTTAATTAATTAATTTCATTATCATTATAATTGCATTATCGCTAGTATAAATATTAAGAGAATATGTATTACAATACGGTAAAGTAGAAATCAAAGCGGCTATGGCCAACAACAGGTTTTCACTCATTGCGCATGTTTTGTGCAACTGTATGTACATGCATGTATTATCTGGCACTCTGTATTAAAATGAACATTTTATCGATAGTCCTGAAAATCTTGGGCGCTGTTTTACGTATAGACACTACAAATTGCCTTTGAAAACGCTTGGGGAACAACGTATCACTGTCCTATGTTCATGTACTGAATCAAAGAAAATGCAAGAACAAAGAAAACGGAAGATAAAACAATAGCTACAATCGTGGCAAATTTTGCTTAATATCAAAAAGCTCTAAAATTGTGACTTTCTTCCTTAATTTCACCACTGTTGTGCTCTTGTATAATTGCGTTTAGCCAAAAAAGAAATTAGAGTGGCAAATTGAGCATTAAGAATGACGATTAACAGAGCAAGTGATATTACGTTGCGCGACTCTATCTGAGCTGATAAGAAAGAATGCGATTAATCGCACATGCCTCACTGATCATTTGTTGGCTATCAAGTCGGTTGGGGTGCACCGTGTTCCATTCATTCTAGATGCTACAGACTGTGCACGTTATTTCACGCCCATTAACATAAGGGGGGCATAGAAGAGAACCGCAAACCCCTTCAACTGCGTACAGTAGCCCTCCATTCGCGTTAGACTGACTACCGGGCACAACCTCAGGGGCTTGGTCCACGCACACGGCTTTGGAGCGCTGCTGGTGATTGTAGTGTCCGGACATGAGGAAACCTCTGTATTCCTCCGTCCAGCTCGCGGGGCAGCCCAGCTTGGCCGGGAAAAGCAGCTGGGTCCCCCGGTCGACGAGGCGGCACACGGCGCAAGGAACGTCACGATCTTGGAGGAACTCTGCATTCTCGTGGGAAAAGGGATCAAATGCCGAAACCTCATACTCCATCCCGTAGAGGTATGACTGTGAGTTGGTGCCGTCGTTGTGGTTGGATGCCCACTCCGGCTCAGGAGGCAGGCAGAAGAAATCCACTGACCCACCGCTATGAGAATAAAGAGAACCGGCGGCAGTACCTTCGTGCAAAAATTAAGATCAGGAACAACACCGATTGGAATAAAAGACTGCAGCGTTTCACATTCTTGTATTGTATTGCATTGTATTGTATTATACCCTCATGGAGTTGGATTAAAGAAAAAGAACGCATTTATTTACAATGCAAACGGTGTAAATTTAACACCTTTAGTTTCCATATAGGACAACATCAAGTTGGTGTTGTTCATTTGAAAACCACTTGTAGGAACGGGTTCAAACATTTGCTTCTTCGTGATGCAAAGTTGTGTGTGGTCCGATATCAGTTATTATCGTAAGGGGCATTCCCACACTTGGTTCGAGCAGATCTTTTGCTGTCGAGGGCATTTCTCTCGTCTGTGTGTTTTTTTCCATCCTCGGTTTGTTTTGGAGGTCCAAGAGATAGATTTTATTAATTTAGATGTTCCAGTATTGCAAATTATATGCAATCAGACATCCAAGGTTGGTATACGACTTCTTTTCCTTCTGCAAAACTCCTGACTTAATTTGCAAACTGCAGAATCCAGGAAGCTTAGGTAGCAAGAGTTTTTAGTTTTATACTACATTACTAGCGCAGATTTTACCTTGTCTAATGTCACAAGACAAATGGTTTCATAGACAAGTACATACCAGCATACACGAGCTCGGTATGGGTTGGGCATGTAGTGCGCCCCCATCGCACATACGCGTCCCCGCCTGACGGCCTCTCATGACTTCCTGCATTCACAATGGAAAAAAAAATTAGCATACGAATAAATTCTTCCATCAGGTGACCGCCTATCAAGGCCCCCATTGCTATCGGGAATTGCACTCAAGACATTAGACCAACTGTTATCACTGCCTTGACGTATACAATTTCTGGCTAAAGGGTTGATGAAGACACTATACGTTTTGACACTTCTTGGTCATCTTGACAGAAGCAAACGTTCAATGGCTATGTCCAAAAACGTATTCACAAATTTAAGGTACTCACGAGAGACAATAATACATTTTAACATATTTTACTATGTTAAAATAAATTTTATATCATAAGAAGATTTTAACAAGCAAATCAATGCGCCCACTACCACCGTAAACACGCCCTCAATGAGTAATGCAGCGTAACTTGGGATGTTTCATTGATAACGAAAAAATGACTGGGGAGAATTGTGTTTTCCAAATAGGGCAGATTATGACTTCTGATTGGACCTTAAGAGAGAGCCCTGCGCCATGAGGCTGCTCTCAACTGTGCTTCAAACTAATCTACTACCGCTCTGCGCACCGTATCTTGTCGCGTTGGGTGCCGAGCCGTGGCCTTCCAACATTTGCGATTCCTCGTGTCTTCTCTTTCTCGTTTGGGCGTGCTTCCGAAACGGGACACTCATTTGCACGGCGTCCTGCTTCGAGTGAGTGTTCTCCAGCCACTCCAGGCGCTCCTCGTGACTCAGTATCTGCACCTATTGCAAGAAAAATGGCATTTTTTTCAGGGCGGTTTGACGTTTTTAAGAGTAACGAAAGCACGTCGATAGCAACTATTTATTTTGCTGTCGCTCAAATTCACGTCACCCTTAAAAGTAAGACAGTTAAAAAGATATTTGACTTTTTTTAATACTCGCTGGCCAGTCTAACATAGTCATAAAGGAAAACATAACATTTAGCAGCGGGAATGCAAGAAATTGTGAGGTGCACGATGGAACCAAATAGGTTATTGTTGATATTGAGCAACAGATTGGAGGTATTCCCGATACTGGTACATGATGGTGTACAAATATAGTGAAATCTGCGGGCCTATTGTTTCAATTAATTAAGCAGTCACACAAAGACGATGTTTACATTACTTACTTCGAATTAAAGAAAACAATTATATGTACAAACAGAATAGGGAACTACCAGTGCGCGCAACACTGTAAAATTGAGGAAAAACTAATTTCATTTTTGTTTGTTTTTTCCTTAATGTTTCGCTAATGGGGAAAAGTGGGATCGATTCTGACTGCTAGACAGAGCATCTGAAAAGTGGGATCGATTCTGACTGCTAAAAGACTGAGTTCTTTAAATTTGTGAGTGTACAAGAAAATCTTTGTCTGTGCATTTTAATATGAACAGGATCTAACCCGTAGCCTGATGCGCTTGTCTATTTGGGAGGTTCATCGTTGTATTGGTCGTATGCCACGCCCGAGTACCACCTGCCATGGAGCAGAGTGACTGCAGTGATGACTTCTAATTGCGGCCTATGGACCGGTACATTAAAACACACTTCGAGGTAATTAATTAATTGATTAATTAAGGAGTTCATTCGAACTTTTTCCCCATACCTATAGCCGATGCTGGTGATGGCTTTATCACATTATAGAGATTACTCAAGCGCGTCTGTGAAGGCGAAGAACTTACCCAGATTTCCTGCATCTCTGTGCGGACATACAGCACGGTCAGACTGACCGAGACGGACACGATGCACACGTTCAGCAGAGCGCCTGCCAAGAGCCAGCGCCAGAACTTCCCGTTCTTGGCGGAGGTGTTCTTCCCCGGGAGAAAATCGCCGCCGAGGGTCACCTCGGGTAACTTGTGATCGGGAGCCATTTTCGCCGACACCAAGTTTTGTCCAAGTTTTCCCCCGACTTTTGCCCGCGGCGGACACTCACACAATAACCGAGACCGACGAATCTTAGTAGCGGTGCGGTTGAGGATATTTGTCGATGCGCATGACAAAGCTGGGCGAGGTGGTCTATAGATACTGTAAGACGAGACGCCACACGGATACAACACGAGGAGGAAGAGGATGCGAAGAAAGGTTAAGTTACTGACATTGAAGCCTGGTGGGTGAAGCGCCAGTTTAAAACTGAACCGTCACTCGATGGGAGATAAGACACTGAAAGGAATAACATCAGGAAGCACGAAACATTAACGGGAGAGCACCGAAACGATTCCAAAATGGCCCTCGATAGATTTAAACCTCAACCCCCTCAACATTTTCTACGGATAACATCGCAGTCCGTTGCTTTTTTTTCACACGCTTAACCTTCTGTAGTTTTTGTAGAAACCTCTAACGGTCGTCGTGACCATGAGCGTAAATCCGGGGGGGAGGTATGTATTTTTTTCCATATGTTTCATATATTTTGACGCTACATGTAATTAGTTTTTGGAAAAAAAGTCCCAGTCTGAGACGAAAGTTTGAACCAAGTGTCATCGTTAATTCGTCTCACCCCTCCCCGAAAAAAAAAGTTTTGTTCAGATCAATTTGGTTCATTTCTAACAAGACAGCTGAAGTAGGTTTGTCATTGCTGTAATTTTCATGTTGTTGACCAATATGTTCGTTATTGATTTAGTGTCTGTAAAACCTTTCGTTACTCGTCTTTGCTTCTATTGGAATACTTTTCTTGTTGAGTTATTTTCCTAATCAATGTCACCTGTACCATCGAGGCTATGTGTCAAGAACGATGTTCCTAAACATTGCTTTAAAATGTTCTGAACCCGTGTACGTGGAACCTAATAAAAACAATTTGGAGGAAAACGCACGTATTAAGTATCGACAAGTCGCGTTCTGTTTACCTTAAACCCTCTAAGGGGAACCTCAACGGGGAACTTGGCGGATCCTAGTTGGGTCTTGTCCAATGTTGCCTGTTGACACCCTACCGCGCCGTGGCATTGCGAGCATTGTCTCAGGTGTCGTAAGTGGAGCCGGACTCTCATTCGACGTCCCTAGAAATTCAGCAAATATTTGGTAGTTCTTGCGGCTAAGTTCACCCATGGCAAAGGTCGTTGTGCGTCGTTCTTATGCTAATTGACTTTCAACTCATTTCAGCAACATCCCTTCCAGATGCATACGCCTTTGGCTTTATGGAGATTCGAGGTAGGAAAAATCGCCCGCCATACATGTAGCTTTATAAAACACTCCGGGCACAGTGCCAAAGATTAAAGATTTGTTCTAGGACAAACTGTATTTTGTGTTCACCTTTATTTTCTAAAACATTAATTTGATTGTTTATTACTGTGTACATATTATTGTACAGATTTCATCTTTTGAATAGAAAACAGTCGGTGTGTGTAGGCCTATAAGCTATGTCTCAATTTCATTTCATCTACATAGGGGAATTCAGGTGGTCGAACTACGCCGAAGAAGCAACAAGTTATGGTTACAGATTCCATGTCTGTACATGGTATTTACATCTGAATGATTCCAGATCAAATTCAAATTTATTTCACACATTTGTATAAAGCCATTTTAGTTGAGCAAAAGTAATACTAATCTGAATACCATATGCGTTCGTCGAACTTACCCTGTCCCCCAAGTTAAAAAAGAATGCACTGAGTTAACGTGCAATGTGATTGTTCTACGTTAGAAATTAATAATTAAAAATTGAATGGGTTACCCAAACATTCTACTCATTCAATTCTCACCAGTAACAAAAAAGAAAGTGCACTTCTATTATTTAACTTCATCAATAATGAGCAAATTCAAATTCACGCTGCAGAGTATTCGCAAATTGTTCGTGTAGTCATTCAAGTGGCAATAAATTACATATGCAGCAAGGTATGAGATGGAGAGGAACCCCCCCCTANAATAAATAAAAGCATTTGAGGGAGTCGAACGTGCAGTTTAATAGCTAACTATGTGAAGTTTGCGGTGACACCATGTAATCAAATTCTCTCTTTGAGTGTGTGTGGTTCTTTTCAGAACCACACACACTCAAAGAGAGAATTTGATTACATGGTGTCACCGCAAACTTCACATAGTTAGTACTTTCGCCATGCATAGCCTCAAGTCTTATTTAGTTTAATAGCTGCTCAGCACTTTTAGCCCTCAAAGAGCCGGGTTGTTTTGGCCTTGTCACAACCGGGGTGGGGGAGAGATTCTCACCCCCCCCCCCCGATCTCGACCTTACGATGACGTATTTCAATGAAATTTGGCAGTGTCATAGAGACATACATATTAATCATCTGTGTGAAATTATATGTAAATTAATTAGGATGTTGCATAATTATGACTCATTAATTATTCATGATACCTATGTTTTTATCGTCTTTCGATTGTCGGGCGTTTTTATTGCATTTTTCACATCAAAGATGCTGTATGGATTGTATATTCAGTGGAAATGAAACCAGAGATGCCATGAGCTGTATTCAGTAATATGCAAAACTTAAATTATACACTTATTACTAGACCCTCCCCATGCAAGAGACTTCCTGACAAAGGAAACCACTGTCCTTTGTACGATGTACATGTACTTCTTTGTACATGTACAAAATCAATGGTAAATTTCACATCACACTTCACCCTGCCTCCTAAAATTCTTCACTGAGAGAGAACGCCACGTCCAATTTTCATAAATTTGGAGTCAAAATGAAACTAATGCATTGGAAAAAATTGTCATAAAGTATTAGCACGCGGAAATCAATCCTCTGAGTCGCTGTGCCGATAAAAGGTCTGAGACACCACGTGATAAATCCAGGCTGTCAACATCACATGATAAATCCAAGCAGATTTCACTCAGTTCAGGAAAGTATGAACTTTTCCGAGCCTTTTATTTTATTTTATTTTATTTTGGTCAAATATACGGTGTATCTGATAACAGGCCTCCAATTAGGTACTACACACGGTGCACGTTATTTCACGCCCGCTGATGTAAGGGGGACATTTAAGGGCCCCGCAGGCCCCTTCCACGATGTAAAGCAGCGCGCCATCACGGTTAGCGTGGCTGCCGGAGATGACCTCCGGAGCGTGGTCCACGCACACGGCCTCGGACTGCTGCTCGTGGCTGTGGTGTCCGGACATGAGGAAACCCCTGTACTCCTCTGTCCAGTTCGCCGGACAGCCGAGCTTGGCCGGGAAAAGCAGCTGGGTTCCCCGGTCGACGAGGCGACACAAGGCGCATGGCACGTCGTGATCATGCAGAACCCTGGCATTCTCGTGAGAGAACGGGTCGAAGTTGGAAACCTCGTACTCCATCCCATACAGGTATGATTGTGAATTCCAACCGTCGTCGTAGGAGGCTGCCCAGTCGGGGTCGGTAGGCAAACAGAAGAAATCCACTGAGCCACCCTTATGAATGTAATGCGAACCAGCCGCAAAACCTTCAGGCGAAACAAAGGTAAACTCTCGCAAATTAAACAGGTGTATTTTCAAAAAGTTGTAAGAAATTAACTGTATTGTGAGTCATTGTGCAAAACATAAACAAACTGTGCTGAAACAAACGGATCTATCTGTATTGAGCACGGAACAGAGCCTACCAGAGTACACCAGTTCTGTGCCCGCGTGGTCTGGACAGACAGTGCGCCCCCATCTGATGTAGATTTCGCCCTGCGACACTCTTCCGTTGCGGTAGTCGTGTGGTGCTGAAATGGAACGTCACCATGTACATATATACACGGATTAAGAAAGCTTGAAGTTTACGGAGTCATTTGAAAACAAATAATAACGGCAATCACCTACAGCGAGAGAGTGAGGTTCTGAGAAAAGATAGGAGTGACTTTTACCCGCTCATTTCCAAAAGCTTTGTAACCACATAATAGTGATAGCAAGCAGTTCAGTTTCGAAATCCAGCATTTAAAATGGAGGTAGAATTTGGACGTCAGAATAGGACATGTATTTTACCATCTGGGTGAAACTCACTGTCATTAAAGTTATTGAGGGCTAGAAGAAGAAAGGAAAATAACGGGAAAAAGATTAGGTTTATCCTGTTTAAATGGGGGAGAGCGTCGGCTGTTGTAATAAGTGATTTCAATCGTGCATTCCAGTCACGGGGCCGTTTGAAGTTGTCCGACAATAACTCTTCACGTGCGCATTGCGCATGCAGTGTGGCTCAGAAACATAACTCTATGGACCTGGCATGTAAAAATGTAAACATTGTGTTAATTGCCCACGTTTGCGGCGGCCGGGGCTTTCTGGATCAATCTATTACAAAAAAGCCAAAATTCACCTGTTCTACCACTCGGCGCGTACGTTGAGTGCAGGAAAAGTTAAGACCACGAGGCGTTCGAAACCCTATAAGAAAGCCATTTTTCTCGATATCGCCGGGTTTTTTTTCCCAGACATTGAGCCTTTAGGAGTTTTTAGAATAGCTCCTTGCGGTCATCTGACACCAATATTTTGAAAATCGAACATACCGTTCTTTTTGCAGTCTACATTTTCCCGAGGCGGATCAGCCAAAATATATACTTTTTTCCACTGCAGTGCTCGATTCACGCTGGTAAGCTGGCTCGCATGTAGCCTTGAACTTCAAATGACAGCAACAACAAAACCACACGTCCGATTGAGTTCAAAATCCACATAGGCCTAAGGAGTGTCTCTACCTGCATGCCAAGTTTGAAAACAATCGAGCACGGCACAGCTGAGTTCTTAAGGGGAAGGTGTCCCCCCCCCCCAGTTGTGAGATGGGACAAAAATAACCCAGTTCTTTTAGGGTTAAACATGCCTTCCTGCGCGCTAATTTGTTTCAAAATTAGTAGGCCTATAGAGGGTGTTCCTTGAAATTGCAGAGGAGTGAAACGTGGTAGCTGTATCAAGGAGAACACAACATCAAAGAACAAACAAACCAGTCTCACCTGGGTCTCCCTTCGGCCCTCTTGGCCCGGATTTCCCGGGTGGTCCACGATGCCCCACGGAGCCTGGTATGCCCTGCCAAATAAGCATATTCATTCATGGCAACGGTTAAAGTCCATGAAAATATTATTACTACACATTCAAAATGGTAACACAACTTGTTTTTAATAGTCAGTTCTTTGTTACATACCGACGATGGAAATTTACTTATCATTTCTCGTATCGTTAGAATTTGAGTTCTTGAGCTGGTAAGTTAGCAATTTTTACGATGACATATTGCACGGGTAAAGGGGTAGGCCTATACGACAACCCCCATTTGAAGATCTTCGTAAAATGGTCGCAAAATGGTTTACCGGCTCGCCTTTGATTCCTTGCGGGCCCGTTGGTCCAGCTGGCCCCTGAAAGCCGTCTCGTCCGTCACGCCCGTCTCTACCGCGGTGACAGGCTCCAAATAGTAAATTTTCTGAATGACAAAAAGGTGAACTTGAAAAGGTGTAGCCGAATACACTGGCGGATTTGGCGGGCATGGGGGCACGCCCTTCGAGGTCTGTGACCCCCCCCGCCCAACTCAGAAATTAGCCAAATAGCAAACTCTTATAGCAAAATAGTAAACGATCGCAGTGGAACAGCAAATTATTATAGCTAAATAACTGACAACATTTTCCCCGCCATCAGCAACAATAATCATCTCCAGTGGACGACTTTAAGATGGAGCGAGAGAAAAAAATTATTCAATTCTTTTTATTCAGTGTTGTATTTTTTCATTCTTTTTTGGTTGGTTGTTTTTGTTGAGAGCGATATTGGGGGCCTTTTGTGGGCGGTAATGAGCGAGTTTTTCTCCGTGTCAAAATACTATCATATAGCGATTACACTGGTTTCAATTGAGCACTTAATTTCCTCTGTTTGTCTTGTTTTTCCAAGTTTACTGTACCAATGTCGGCATTATGGCCAATTGACAGGTTGCCCAAGTCCCTTTTCATTCGCAGGCGGTTGTCTTTGGGAGTTAGGCCGCGATTCCCCTTCGCCGTGGTATCCTCTACTGCAGTCAGTCGCTCCTCGTAGCTCGCTAGTCGTAGCTGAAATGAGAGAGAGATCGAGTGATGTGATGCTGAGAGAATCACCTTATAACATGTCACCAGTTGCGCGTTTAAGTCACGCGACGTAGTCTGAAAAATTGTGAATTACATACATCGGTCAACACAAATCTGCCATCTGGCAGAACTGTACATCAAGAGAGTAGCGTCAACGCAGACTTTGGAACCAAAATGGATGTTAATCATGGGTGCAGTGCTAGTGCAGCATGCGGTTGCTGTGTGCTTATTGTCCATCACGGTACACTGACGCATAATCCGCCATTTTGGTTCCAACAAGTGAGACACCCATCGGGTGCATTCCGCCAAATCGTTGTCTATATTTCTGCGCGCGAATTCGTTAATATTTTGTGATCTCAAGGGGCTTTTACATTAAGACAGACCATAATCAGAAGGGGTTATAGAAATATTTCCATAAATCCCGAGTTTGGGACAAACAGTTTCCAGTTTGAAGTATTTCTTTCACAAAAAGCCCCAAATTGTGGGACTATTTTGGATAGAGGCGGGCGGCTACATTCAGAGCTGAGCGCATGGTTTTACTATATTTTGGGGGTATCTTCGGGAAAAGACGAATAAAAATATATTCGTGGCTACCCCCCCCCCCAAAAAAAAATGGAACGAAAAGTGATATCTTGGCAGTAATCTAGAATTTCCAGTCAAAAAACGGAGGCCAACTCTTTCCGAGAGTCAACAGGCGGCGCTATTTTGGTCTGATTTTGCACCGTTTTCAATGGGTGCGTATATGGTTTCTCCCCGATGGGGACCATCGGGGAGAAAAAAAGCGACCCCTGTTACTCGCTCCTCTCCATTGATCTGACCGTCTCTCCCCCCAAAACAAGTTCGACAGAATAAACAATCAAGTGTCTATTGCACAACAAACAGGCTGTCGTGGTTGTATTGTCCATAGGATTCATCTCAAGTTGTGGAGACAGTGGCGTTAATCTGTGCTGGAAATTGGGGGGATGCGAAAGGTGGGCGAATGACATGAAAATTTGAAAAGCGGGGGTTGACACAATATTACTCTGTATCGAGGATGATGTTCATGATATTAATGTACATCTGCATTCAGAATGATATATTTATGGCTTTAAATTGTTCTCCCTTTTTGAGTGATACTGAATGCATTTTAGTCGACGGAAGTCTGAAAAATTCTTATCCATCGACTTCAATTTCTTTGCTTGCCACAAAAACGTGTGCCGATGACTAAATAGCCCATCCCCTGACCTAAAGGGGGGGTGTAAATACCCCCACCTCACCACGGATTTATGCCCATGGGTGGAGACGGGAGTTTGTAGCCCATCGATTTTCAAAGAGCTCACAAACCGACCCGAAACTTTCTCTTCGAAAAGATGAACAAGTGCATTGTTTACTGTTTTGCACTTGTCTATTTGTTGGGACGTCTGCTTCCAATAATAATGAAGGGAAACCATTGTAATTTTACCCAGTGGCTTTTGAAAAAGGTCACACATACACTCCTAATAAGACAGCTCAGTTTCTGACATTAACATTCTTCCTTGACCCTCGGGCGCGTTCCCCAACCGGTGCTAATTTAGAGAAAATGAAAATGTTTGTCAAGTTCCATCTCTTCGCAGGACTTTCTGATTAACTTCACATTTCCGTTACATTTTGGGAAACCGATGAAGGTGTATCATTTTAATGCAGTTTATAAAGCTAGGTTGCGCTTACATACAGCAATTATCATGTCTGTTCGAAACGCAGGAATTTTTCCTGAAATTAAGAACCAAACTAATTCAACAAAAATTGTGTTGAATAGGTGCACCGAAAATAAATCACAGCTGATCGGGACCATCGTCACCGTGTGTAGGCCTAAGTCTTACCCCGAACGACTGCAGCTCCTTCTGAGCGTAAAACACGGTCAAACCTACTGCGATGGATGTGAAGCAGAGGTTCAGTAGTGTCCCTGCCACAAGCCAGCGCAAAAGGAGCCCATTCCTAGTAGAATGCTTGCTTTGCTCGTGCATTTCGATCCCAACATCGGTCGACTTGTTCACAAAAGCCATGTCATCCGCTATCTTAGTGAATGCAGCCCTTGGTCTAGCCTGGGACTCGTTTTATTTTTCTGTTGTGCAAGGTATGCTCTCCGTTGGTCCCGGCTTCGTGTGAGATAAAATCTTTAAACAGGCAAGGAAGTTTGTAACGTGAACTCGTATTTTCACGTACCTCTCTTGCCCCCTGAAGTTGAGTATGACAGTTCCACACTGATTTATTGCGATCAGACAAAAAGACCGACGTGCACTTGCAATTGCACTCGTTTTCAGTTTCCAGTTACCACGGTAGAGTACGGAAGCGTATGGCTGCCAACACGAAACAAATATTTTATCTCGTTTAAACAACTTAGTGTCTCGTTTAAACGACTAAGTATTTCGTTCAAACGACATACATGTGTATATCTTGTTTAAACGAGATAACTATGTCGTTTGTAATACGCTTCCGTAGTCCATTACTGTTGTAAAATACTGTGGTACGTTTCCTGTAGCTATTAGACCTGTATATTAAAGTCTCACCCCTGCCCTCCTACGAGCCTTGAGCTGAACCAAGAGAGGGCGCAATTTTCTTCACAACAGAGACTCCTTGTGGTCTGAACCGAACTTCGCTGGTTCACAAATGAGTATGAAATGGTCGCGTTAAGGTCGCATCGCTACCAACGAAATGGACACTACATGGCTCTTTCCAACCGAGTACGGGTGCTTCTGCTCGAGGTGGATTGGCATTTCCCTTACTTTGAGACTGTGAGAGGTCGGCAGTGAAAGATCTGCAGCGTTGGTAAGGCGTGTTCAGGCGTGCGGGAAACCACGAAATTCCCTGGCCATCCTGTTCAATTTTGACAGGAATGCTCCGACCCCAAAACACGTAGCAGGACCAAAAAAGAATTCCGTTTTCCAGACACGTTTTGGTTTATTGCCAAACTAACAAACACCATGCCTACAATGATAAGGGCTGCTCTTTTGACGTCACAGTCGTATTTTACCTTCGAGTGGCTGCTGAAACTATGGTTGGCCGTCAGTGCAAAAATGAAGGAATAGTTCACAAAATATTAAAAATGTCACGGACCTATCACAGCATCAGGTAACGATGCACCATTAAATACCGGTACTAAATTAAAATACAAGCCTATACAACCCTAAATTAATGGGGCAACAGTCATCGTTGAACGAATTGGAGGTAAAATTGAAAGCCAGGCAAACGGTGATATTTCTGCAAACTTTGGCCGCTGATACAAGTTGAAGGCAAAATGAAAGTGGTCTATTTTGATCACCGAGCGATCGTAAAACTGCGTGATAACGCTTAAAATTGATTAAAAATTCATTTTATAGGGAAATCTATTTGTATTTAAAGTAAAGTTTAAACACAATCACGAAGGGACACTCCACCTCTTGAATCAATGTTTAGTTTGTTTTAATATGTATTCAATATAAAAACAAAAACAAGTGATGGGAAATCACATGCACAAGTTGTATAACCGCGTGCCTGAGTAAACCTTTTTCTTAAGTGTCATTGTTGTCTACGCTAATTTCATCACTGATCATCACAAATTTGACGACAGTACGTGATAAGCATCTTGTTGCGTTAAGCACAGAACGTGATTACCACAGCCTGGTCGCCTTACCTAATATTCTGAGTTTTCGTACAGGTGAAGAACAGCCAATATCGCGTGACTGCATAACGGGAGAGGGTCCAAGACATTATACCAAAATTTCCGGATTGGCTTTCCACGGACTCTCATTCGAGGGCACAGGCGACGAAACACCTACTTGAAGCAGATGGAGTGTGACTGCTAATTTGCCAACGAATCACAATTAAGGGGGCCATGAAACATGAATATTTGTTTAAACCCTTGAAATTGCACCTTTTGGTTTATATTGAACCTATTTTAACTGTTTGTTTTGCAAATTAAACCATATTTTGGACCTTTTTTATGCTAATGCATTTGCATATTTATGAGCAAAACTATGATGTCACCCGAGGCATTGAATCTTAATGTTGCACAGATTTATACACAGACAATTTTTAGATTTTCTTAAACACTGCTATTGTAGATTTAAATTCCTTTGTCAATTTATTGTGGTGTAAGTATATAAGTATATAATACGCCGGTGAGTAACCTTTCTACAGAAATGTTTTCAGATAGCAAATTTGGAGTTCACAATTAGAAAATAAAAACATGCAAACTGAACCATGCGCGTTTTTAAACGAGCGAATTGGGCTCATTTTGCTGGTTTCAGTCAAGGCTTGAACATGTGTTTTCGAAAGCTGTCTGAAAATGGCTGGAACCAGTGAAACTAAAATCTAAGCCGAATCCACTCGTTTCGAGAACGTTCTGTCTTCTTGGATTTACATCAAAGCAAAGCGCCCTCACTTGTCCGAAAATTCTTGGTCAATTTTGAATGCTTAAAGAGTGCCTGTTTCAGTTCATGAAATACAAAAAGATATCAAACAGTCTTCATACATTTAGGAAGGGTACAGAGATACACAAAAAGTGCTCCTAAGAAAAATTCATTTCATGGGTCCTTTCTAAAAAAAAAAGACTTCTAATGAATCATATTTTCCTGATATTTAATAACAGCCAAGAATTCAAGGAAGGGTACCTAATGCCAGAGTCGAGGAGTGACGAAGGTAAGACAGGGGCGCTGTTGAAGTTGCAGGACGGGGCTGGACGCAATCTGGCAATATGTGGCGACTGTCACATACTACAAGGTCAGGGCTGTACAGCATGCAGCTATTGCGTGCTAATTGGCCAATAACCATGCTCATCGACGCATATTCCAACGGAATATTTTGGTTCCAACAATTGAAACACCCATGTTCTAACTCTAAACAGCTCTGGATACTGTTATGCGGGAGAGAAGGGACGTAATATTCTGTCAGTGTCAATTAAGATCCAGCACTCCATCCTCCAGCGCCCACATCAAGATTAAATACTCGGCATGTGCTTAAATCGGCCAGTTGGTGGATCTTGCTGACAACAGTTCAAATGACTAGATTATTGGCAAATTGAACAATTCCGTTGATTGATTCAGCTTCCAATTTTACTACGAGCCACTTGGAAGACACAAGAGAGGACTAGTGGCTATCGTGACCATGTCCTAGATGCTGCAAACGGTGCAGGTGATCTCGCGACCGTTGACGTAAGGGAGACAGGGAAGGGAGCCGCACCGGGCCTCGACGATGTAAATGAGCGCCTCGTCCTGGCTTGCCTCAGTGCCGGGAACCACCTCTGGGGCTTCGTCCACACAGATGGCGCGGGACTGCTGCTTGTAGTCGTACTTCCCGGACATCAGAAACCCTCTGTACTCCTCTGTCCAGTTCGCCGGGCAGCCCAGCTTGGCCGGGAAGAGCAGCTGGGTCCCGCGGTCGACGAGGCGGCACACAGCGCACGGGGCGTTGTGCTGGAAGATGGTCTCGGCGTTGGCGTGCGAAAAGGGATTAAAATTGTTGAGCTGGTACTCAACTCCGTATAGATAAGACGCATGTGGGTTGGCTCCATCCCTTGAGTTTGCTGACCACTCTGGGTCATGGGGCAGGCACAGGAAATCCACAGAGCCCCCCGTGTGCATGTGGTGAGCTCCAGCTGCGTAACCTGAACACAGTACAGATGAATTTGTCATGTCAGTGCAAGTATTGAAGTGTTATTTTAAAATACACGTTGTCTACGCTGACGTGGACTCATTTAAGGGAATTGTTTCGTTGTTTCGTTTGGGTTCTCCTCAATTACCGCCTCCCCCTCTCCAGTTTCAACCCCCCCCCTCCAAATGCTGTATCTGCTTTCAGAAGCGCACCTGAATATACGAGCTTCGTGCCTGGTTGATCCGGACAAGTGTTGCGCCCCCATCGGACGTAAGTAGATCCAGACGTTTTGTTGGCGTAGTTCTGAGGCCCACAAGATTCCCTTCTGTGGGGGCAATCTGGAAAAAATAAAAATTGCATTGTATGATATACAGTAATGGGAAGTCGTGAGCAATGTAACCTTTGGGGTTGGGGGTGGAGACCCTCCCCCGGCTCTGGGACCAAAAAAAAAAAAATGGGGAGAATAATTTTTGAAAAACTAAATGGAGTACACAAATATCATTGTAAGCAGTGTACACTGTCAGAAATTTTTCTGTATATTTGCATAGAATCTTATGTCAATTGTTATTACAAATATCATGTTAATGTTCAGATGCTCATTTTTACATGAACAAATTTTTTTGTAGATTTACAGAGACGTTGTTTTCTGACTAAAACAATTATGTTTGTGGAATAAACGTAGAGGGGGTTGAAGGAGGCTGCTTACAAGGTTGAAGGAGGCTATTATGTTAGTGATAAAATTGACAAGTTTGTTTTTTATTTCATGTATTAACAGACATAATCACCTGATCGATGCAGCACGATCACAGTTGCTACTAAACTGATCTATAACGGCACGCAGCTTGCTGATATGTGCATCGCTTTTTCCTTCGACTTTAGTCACGGTTGGCAGGATAGCAGCTTAATTAAAAACATATTTGTTTCAACAGTTCCTATTACCGGCACGCAAGATGACTTAAGAATAAAATTATTCCTCCACAAAACATTACCTGTTACTCGCATTAGCAGGAAACACGAGAAAAATGGCGAGATAAGCTTTATGAAAATGTTTTTCAGCACCAAAGTCAATGTGCAAATTTGTTACAAAGGAAATTGTACATTTACAAAGCTTTTTATGGGGTTTTGCTTGTCTGCGAATAAAGGAGACATAAAAAAATCTCTGGCCTGACCCCCTCTCAGGGAAAATTCCTGGATCAGCCCCTGCTAAGCCAGTTGGGCACCACAAACATGCTCTGCGATTCGTACCATATATAATCGCCCTTTCAAAAAGGCGTTCCGAGTCGTGCCAAACAAAAACTAAGAGTAAGTCTTACTTTTTTTATAAAGTGGCTTACCAGCAATGCTCTGTTCTCCTGGCAACCCCCGTGGCCCAGCCTTTCCCGGCGGTCCTCGCGGGCCAGCCACGCCAGCAATGCCCTGGCAAAGTAATGAATAGAGAAAGATGTTTAGGCCTGTAACAAGAAACGGCATGCGTGATGCCATGCCTCGAAAAAGACACATAGGGGCTACTTCACCAATCCTTCATTTCTTTAATAGATATGCCTGAGGAACCCAATGCCCCTCTTTTTATGGGTCCGTCCCATTATTGCCGATTTCATTCTTGGATGGTCAGTGTTTTTAGACATGGCGAAAGTCAAATGTTACCTCAAAGTGCACTTATGAACCCTCTACTTTAGAGGGGGTCACTTCTTTATTTATAATTTAATTAAGCAACGTGTAGTGTTTATTATTTGGTGTTCAGTTGCTTTAAATATAGGTTTCAACACTAAGCGAACTAGGCATACCTTTTGAGTTTGTACCGATAGATAGTCGTATAATGACATGAACCACTCCTAGGCAAAAATACGAATCTGAGGTAGGAAGAGCAACCGGCATTTCGCCAACAATTCGACAAAACCTGGCTACGAGACTAGTCTTTCTGCGCAAAGCTAGCCAGACATCCGAGAGAATTACAACATTACACTTTCCCTTACTCGTTCACCCTTGCTTCCAGGAGGCCCAGCTGGTCCAGGCGGTCCCCAGGCCCCGTTCCGTCCGTCTTTGCCGTCTCTCCCGTCCCGGCCGTCTCGGCAAAAGCAAAGGCCTCCATGTCTGGAATCTGTTTTTTTTTAACGTTTGCATTTGACAGGTTTACTGATTAATTAACACTGCATGCTGTTGAAAACGCGCCTTAGGAGCTACTGGTCAACAACTGAGTCGGAGCCACTTCTAACAGAAGGCTCATGCCAATTGTAGCCGCTGCTGTTTGAGACTTTCTTGTGAGGCTTTTCACAGCAGATTGTAATCCAAGTCTAAGGGTGCATTTATCGTTCCGTTTGGTGGAATGCTTTTGAACTAAGTAGAAGGAAAGGCGGTTATTTTTTTCCACCTTGTCCTCCGTTTTGTAGCAATCTTTATTGAATAAGACTAAAAGTAGGCCTACTTCTGAAACAACTCGCGAAATTGAATATGAGAGAGGGTATACCCAGGCCTGTTCAAGTTCCTTGTCATGCCACGATATCTCCTGTCTTATCCATCCGACTATCCAGACAATTCCCTATATGATATAGTGCGAAGAGGACCAAGGAGAGCAGAAAGACATCTCTCGATTCATTTTTTTTAAAGGTGCATATGTCGTGTCACAAATTTGACAATTTTCATCAGATTAGATGGCCGGTACTAATTATGCTGAATTTTGATTCTCTGTCTTAATTTATGCTGCAATGTTCCACAAATTGAAGCGTTAACCTCGATTTCAATTTCACCGACTTATGAAGCAGGTATTTCTCCCAATTCCATACCACAATTGACAGAATCCACTTGTTGGGTGACGGACGGGGCAGCGAGGCCTGGTGACCTGCTTGTCTCCGCGTTTACCGGTAATTCCCGTCGCTTTCTCGATCGGGCGGTATCCCAGGACGGGTAGCTAATTTTGATGTCGTCCGGTGACGAAGAATCGCTGATCTGTGTCAGGCGCTGTTCTTGGGTGAGCAATCGATCCTGTGATGGATTTAAAAGGGACGTCTTATACCGTATGTTTTATTGTTTGCTTTGTTGGTGGGGTTGTATGCTACTCAGTAGACCATGCCAACGCTGCGGGCCGATGTTTTTACACAGTTTTTGTGAAAATCTTGCTGCTGCAGATGAGGGATAGTTATGAAACGTGTTCTGTTGACTGTACAAAATGTAGACAGTGTGTTGTGTAATGAGGGGGGGGGGTGAACATGGACAGCCGTAACTTTGTATTATGGGTTTATTTCCTGTTGAATCCCGGGTTCCAGGAGATACGCAAACGGGTGGGGGGTCAAAGATTTATTTCATCAGGGTGCAAGTTTGTTGAAGTTGAACTTCTGCACAGCAGCTTATTGGCCAGCTCGGTCGCCTGAAATCTTTCCGTGCTTCAGTTTGTTTGGTACAAATTTTGCAAAACATGAAGCTGCGCAATAGCGTGCGATGGCTTTCTGGGTATGAGACAGTACTCGGTGCGACGTACACTTAGAGGGCTTTCCGCTAGAGCAAACCTTGCACTTTTTGGGGTCGTCTATTTAAACAAAATAGAATAAAATAACAAGTTACTGGGAAAATACTGCAATCCTTAACATATACCTCGCAATTTACTCTATCGCTTGTGGGCCACGATAATTTGAATTTAGGCCCCGTTATGAGACCCAACACTTTGAATTTTGCCGTTTCGGATTGACCCATCCATCTCCTGTTGCATGAGACTGGTCCTCTACTGGGTCAAAAATGACACCTTTGTGGGTCAAATCGACCAATAGAAGAATCAGACTGACCCAAACGAGTCTTATCCTTTGAGCCTAAAGATGGTCAGGCCTGCACAGTACCCAGATTGGAGTCAACCCGACTCGGGAGTGTTCTTGATCCTACCCTGATTGTCTGAAGTTCCTTGTTCACATAGACCACTGTCATACCGATGGCAATGGACGTGACACAAAGGTTCAGCAGTGTTCCCGCCAGAAACCAGAGCCAAAACTTGCCGTTCTGAGTGGGGTGTTTTTCTCTGCGGATCATGTCGCCGACAGGATCAGAAGACCTTTTATTTCCAGACATGGTGCTGAGAGTTTCTATATTTGAGTAACAAATGATATTGGCTTGGTTAGATTGACCGTAAGTGTCTACCGAAAAGTTAATGGCTGCGGTTGGGAGTTGCACGTACGTCTATGGAAAAGGCGACGATTCGCTGGTGCCTTCCAGCCAGCCGTAGCCAAGCATTCGGGCTCCGCCTCCCTTGAAGTCTTTGTATAATGGCGTCGACATACGCCTAGCCATAACAGCATGACGTGACTGGCCAGATTAAAGTCTCGAAAGCTTGTGAGGTTTTTTGCAACAGCATGACGTGACAGGCCAGATTAAAGTCTCGAAAGCTTGAGAGGCTTTTTGCAAGCTCTCGGACAAGCACTGGGCATACAGTGCTTTTTAAACGTTGGATGAGGGCAAAACCCGTTATGTAAATGAGCAGACTGATTTAGAGGGTTCTGATAATGTGCCAATACAAATATTAATAGCGTCAGGACGGGACGGACAATTTCGATGAAAATGGAAGCTGACGATTAATATGAGATAAACCTCGAAAAAAAAGACTGATGTCAATCTATAAATGTCTCATGGTAATATTTTCATTTCCATTGAAACAAACTGACGACAATGTATATTTTTAACATTTTGAACCAACTATTTCCTTTATACATTTTGAAAGCGTTAGAAAAATCTTTAATTTTACACTTACTAGAAACTCTACTTTATTATGTTTATTTCTGTGGAATCTCTTTAACTCATGATCCGTTCAGGTCTAAAGTACGTTCCTGAGGTAGAAAAAAGGTTACCCCGCTGTGGTGATAATCGCAGTAAACAAGGATGGGTAAAGATAAAAAAAACGAACGGGTATTATCTCTAAAAGTAGAGCATGACTGGTGATTATATCCAACCGTGAATGACAATGTGACCTTTGTACTTTTTTGACAGATCAACGCCCAATGCAAGGCTTACAAGAAAACAGTACCGGTTAAGGAGTATAGAATTTATCCTTTAGCCGACTACATTGAATTACGCAAGATAAAGTTTCAAATTGGGGAACCTTAAAGTAAAATAGAAACAATGAAATTAAAGTTCATCACCAACTTAATGACTAATTATGTTAATGAATGATTCATTTTTATTAAGAATATCCAAATTTTTTAAGCCACATTCTAAAAGAAAAGATGATGACAGGGGGCTAGAGGCCAAAATAGTCTGGTTTTACCCACTCAAATCCTCAGAGCAACAAAGACACTAAAAATTAGTATTGTTTTTATTTCTGCAATAAACATGAAACTCCGTGTATTCCTCAGTGAAGGACCATATTTTCAGACTTCATGCAGAGCTCGCTTGCCAGCCAGGCCAACTGGGGAAGTATGGGCCTTCTGCCAACCCCTGTTCATGCAGGTTTGATCCCTCTGCGTAAAAAGTAACTGTTCCTCCAACAACATTCAATGGAAAGACGTTTTAGTGAATTCTGAGGACTGTTTTCTCGTTGTTTAATATCTGTAACACTCCAGTACACTGTGTTCGCTTCTGCCTATTATCTGCGCCATTCCCCACAGCATTTGCCTTATGAGATTGTCTTTACACTTACGCTATATTTCGACTCTTTAATTTGCTAAAACTCTTCAAAATTCTTCACAACCCCAACAATGGCTCCAATCTGCATTTGGACACTGTCTAGGCCGCCATTGGCAGTGCCTAAATGTTTTAGCCTTTTTCAATTTGCTTTATATCTTCATTTCAAATTAAAGACATGTCTTTAGCTGAATAGGTTATATCGCTTGTCAAAGCAAATCCAATTTTGCCTCATCTTGAACGATTTTACTGGTTTCATATACCGGTACGGAATATAAACTGACGCACATTACCAGAAACAATTCATGCGACGGGCCATGGGACCGGTCCAATTACGATCACTTCTTTGAGATAGTCTTTTAAATCTTGTCCCTTTTCCTTTTCTTCTTCACCTACTGTCGACACGCTCTTCGTCTGGGAGTGTTCTTTAAATGGTACAGACTGTACATGTAATCTCTCGCCCGTCAATGTACGGGGGCAGAGACCAGACGTGCAACGCCCCTCGATAATGTAGAACAGCGCTCCGTTCCCGTCCTTCCGACCCCCCGATACGACCTCCGGCACCTCGTCCACACACACGGCTTGTGAGCGCTGGGCGTGGTCGTGGTTTCCGGACATGAGAGATCCTCGGTACTCCTCCGTCCAGTTCGCCGGGCAGCCCAGCTTTGCAGGGAACAGCAGCTGGGTCCCGCGGTCGAGGACACGGCAAACCGCGCACGGCACGCTGCGCTGGTCCAGGAACTCCGCGTTCTCGTGGGAGAAAGGATCAAATGTCTCGACTTTGAACTCCACGCCGAAGAGGTAGGACTGAGAGTTGAGCCCATCGTTGAAGAATGCCGACCATTCCGGATCCGTTGGCAGACAGAAGAAGTCCACGGCACCATCTGGATGCTGATCGTGCGCAGTGGCTGCAAAACCTACACAACATTTTACAGAACAATTCTTCAGAACTCTCTACATGTACATAAAAATAAAATCCTTGAAGAAATTCACGCAAGGAAATGCTGCAAAATCTCTTTGTTTTTAAAGCATACTGTCGGCTATTATTTTTTAGAAGTCATAGCATGCACGACGGCCGATTCCCGAGCTTATAGCTTATTCTCAGTTGGTGGCTGGAGGCTTTAAATCCTATTTTTTTTAGTATTTCAAATTCACCCAATTTTGTCCATCAAACATATATTTTTTCAGGGATGGCAGGATAAAAACAAACAGATGAAAACACTTGACGATTATCTCCAAACAGAGATAAGTGCCAATTTGGTACCGTTCAGAATCTCACCCTCTCTCGGTGGCCCATAGCTTTTCGTCAGCTAACCACAACTTTCATAAGTCAAAAAGTTTAGGGACACGTGGTACACGGCTCAAGTTTTTCAGGAGTTCAAAATTGCGAAGAAATTGGATGTTTTTCCAAAGTTCACTTTTTGGAAATAACCCCTTCACTTTGACCTGCGATTAAGTCAAAGAGAGCGGACGAGGAACTGTAGATTCTGGCACGAATCTGCAGTTCCGAGTAACAATTTGCCATTGTTACACGAAAGTGGAGTCCCGAGTCTATGAGTGACGCTCTTGCTGTTTTTACCCTTCGCCTGAGTGCACACCTTTGTTCCATTCATTAATATGCAAGGTTGCGCTACGTGAAACCTCGACAGTTTTCGTGCAGTCAGTGCTGCATGCATTCTAGCTCCTCTTCCTCGGGCACCTTGGAGTCATTATTACACGTGTGTCATCGCAGAAAAACCTATCGGACTAAAACCACCATAGGACCCTTGGAAACTGAAGAGTGCTATATCAAACTGATGAGAGTATTTGTGCAGTCAACGCTCAGTGCTGGATATATACCTGTATTCTCTTCATCTTGCACCTTGGATTCATTATTATCCGGGTGTCATTGCAGCGAAACCTTCCGGACTTAAACCACCGCAGGAGTCTTCGGAATTGAGGAATGCTAAAGGAAAGTAAGGTTAGCACTTTCCGAATCAATTTAAATGGACTTCACTGATAAATGTTCTTATGTATGCATCATTCCGAAGTGCCTCCTCACTAAAGATTGCTATTTAATTTGGAGAATGAGTAACTTTGGATTCAAATTACGCTGCGAATTTTGAAGTTAAAATAATAACATTAAAGGTTTTCTATAAGGCGCACATATCCACCTAAACTTGCTTATAGCGCTACAAACATTAGCAACACAAGAAAATTTACAGGCTAACAATTCAATCAAGATTATGAAAAACGTTTTAAATGAACTGAGATATATGTGTTGGACCGTACACTGGGGAGCAGCAATTCTGACAGATGTGTCACCTGAGGACCGGTATGATCTTGGGACAACTAGAATATGGAGCCGAATTTGTGTCAATTCAATTAATTAAGCTATAGCCCAACATCATATAAAAAGACTGGGTAAAACGTAGACACTGAAAAGTAGCCAAACACATGAAATTAGTTCCTTATTGAAAGGTGAAGAAAGAAATTCAAATCCTTGTTGAAAAATTTGCTTTGTAAAGCATTTATTAATATTGATCTTGAAAACACCTGATCAAACTATTTTCGTCATTTTCCATGGAGAAAGGCAAACATACACAATACGGCCGGAGTGTGGGCGTTCCCGGTATCTCTTAAATTTGTTAACTGTAGCTACTACAAAGCCCAGTAGAGTCAATGTCACGGCAACCGTCGCTCTCCTTTTCTGACATGATTGTGCACAGTCTGCACCCAGAGTTAACATTATACTTTGTCTTGTGGAATCATCCTGAAAATATCCTGAAAATCATTCTATGTGTCATTTATGGCCGCGCTCTCCACACACAGTGGGTGGAACTGGCACCTTACTCACCGGGACCAGCTTATATCAAAACACAAATGATAAATGCTCTCTTTAAAACAATAGATAAAATGCCTCCCGCTCTACTACCTTTGGTACAATTCGCCTCCATGAAAGTGCATATTATGGGAGGCGAAATTGTACCGAACCAAAGGTGAACGTTACGCAAACTCCAGCCGCCCATAGCAAGTGCAAACAACAGCCGAAATGATTGGAGCACCGAATGTTTTTATTGGATCGCTGATATTTGTAAGATAATTCCAATTTCAATTTCTATGAAAAAAATAATAAACAAACACTCTGCAAGGCCACGAGACAGAGTTTTATCTTTTCCATATTATCTGAAAAACAGCGTCCACTGAGCACCATATCACGACACACGCGAGACAGACATCCCATATTTTATTTTTTTAAATTAAAAAAGGAATGCAACTGGAGATTCGGGGAAGACTTCTCACAACGTTTTTCAATTCCTAACTGTGGAGGTATCAAAATAGAAACAGAAACATTTCATAAAAAAAGGAAATCAGCTGCCCATGGAAAGGTTGCAGGCCTGGAAAAAAGTTCAATTTTTGCCAAGTCGCAGGTTGATATTTGAACTACTTAAAGATTCCTGCAACCCCCGAAATGTTGAAAAATGGAGGAAATAATATAAGATGAAAGAAGACAAAGAAATCTGGAAGCCTATTTAAACAGGACAAATAAAATGTCTGTCCTTGTGATGTGCCACGGGAATATTGAAAAACTTGCAATCGATGTCTTACGCGTCAATATTTCACTTCCGTAACTAGCAAAAACTGAGTCCGACAGCCCGTCGATAAGGTGACGGTGTTGAGAGATGGGATCATAAGTCACTCGAGGATTGGGGTAGTGTGAGAGGGGGGGGAAACACGCAGTCGCAACATTTTAAAAGGGCATAGGCGGGGCAAAAAACGACAGACACCTACATGTATTCGGGGGAAGGCATAAAAGCCAAACCCCGCCTTGAGCAAAACCTGGATTCGCCCCTGGGCTTTTTCAAAGCTCATAACTAATTCCACCACTGGCCACGCCCTGCAATGTAGTTTTTCAAAACGAACAGCCCTATTGTTCGTTTAGCTCTTCTTAAAAGCTACATGGTTACAGGAAAAGAAATCAAAGTGTCATTGGCTGCCAAACCGTTTAATTTTGTTTTCAAACCTATACATGTTTAAAAAGTAAATAAAATAGAAAACATTTAGCTTTAAGCACAGTAACATTCAATCATCAAGATGCAAGTAGTGGAAACGATTTTACTGCAGTCGAAATAAAAGAACAAAGTATGCGGCATCTTTTTTAAGCAATGCGTGCGCGTAGTTAATCATTTTCAAATTCTCGTTTAGTAACAGTAGAAATACATAAAAAATACATATAAACGAAATAACAAAGTTTTGAAATACTGCTTTGAGAGAATATCATTCTCGGGGAACAATATGGAATGTCCACAATCCATTGCACATACCTAATTGAAGCCAGGGAATACTTGTATTTTGGCAGCAAGAAAGGTGGCCCTCGATAGCTATTAAACAAAGCATATGCTACTTGCTGTAGACTGTTACCCTTCCTAATCACAATTCGTAGAGAATTTCGAAACAACCGTCCACATCCGAGATACACATGATGTACATGTA